CACAAGGGGCCTTGCTACCTCTTGCAAGAATGATGCTTCCAAACAAGGGTTCAACCGTGAGAACGGCTGCCTGGGCACTGTCAAACTTAATTAAGGTTTCTATTCGTCAATAAGGACATACATGCTAGTACTGTGGCTAAATAAACTTTTTTAAGAAACGGTGGATCTTTCTTTCCCACCTGTTTGGTTGTCATTTCTTTCTGTTATCTGATTTGATGATAGAATTTATTTCTTCTTTTCACTCTGTCCCTTCTAGACATAATGCTTCTTAAGCCAATATACTTTGGCTGTGGGATATGCAAGTTCATAGGGCCTTATAAATATTTATTCTTATCTTACATTCATTTTGCATCTCTAACTTGAGTGATATTTTTATCCTCATTAAAATTTAACTTAAGAAATAATTCCAGTGTGTTTGAATGCAGGGACCTGATTCTAGAGCAGCTACTGATCTGATCAAAATTGATGGGGTGCTGGATGCAATTGGTCGGCACTTGAAAAAGGCGTGAGTGGGTTTTGTTGATCTCAAAGACAAATCTATTGTTTCATTTTATGGATATATTGTCTTCCCTATCTTGTACTTAGATTTGGTCAGAGTGGTCCCATTTCTAAGCTTTGTAGATGCGGTATCTTGGCAAACTAGTCCACAATCCACATTGATTCGTAGAATGCATCTTATAGTGTCTCTGGCTTCTGTTTATGTAAATAGAGTGATCGACCTGAGAGAAACTTTCTGAAGACAGCCTGGGAGTTGGTAAGTGGAGACTTTTAGCTGACGTCCTGAGGACTCTATCAGGAGTATGGTTATTAGGGTGAACCCAGAGCTTTGGTGAGGAATCAGTTTCCCTGCTTTGAGGATATGTCATCTGCAGTATATCCCAGGGATGCCACTTAAGCAGAGAGAGAAGCTGGAATCTGGTTCTTGTAAACTACTGTGAGAATAAAGAACAACTGGGTGCTTGTGTAGATATTGCATAGGTTTGATGGCATTGGATTTAGTGGCAGTTCGATGAATTCTTACGAGTGTAGAAATGCAGTTGGTAATGCTCTGGAAGTTATTCCTGAGGAGGGACTTGGTTTTTTGCTGTATTCTTATTTTGGAAATTCTATGACGTTCTCTGAAAAATCCTTTTCTTACAGCAATGTTTTGGCATTATCAGGGATGAGGAGTTGGCAACAGAGATTGCTTGGGTAGTTGTGTATCTCTCAGCCCTTTCAAATTTTGCCACTAATTTACTGGTGAAGAATGATGTTGTTCAACTCCTTGTGGAAAGATTGGCAACATCTAGTAGTCTGCAATTGCTCATTCCGGTAAGCATGATCGATTAACAGGAACCTTGTACCAAGTACTGATGAGTGTATAAGAAAAGGAGAAGTGAATATAGTACGTAATAAATACGTTTTTCTTTATTTTGTTTAAAGTTATCTCCTAGCAATTTTCTGACAGATTTGTACAAATGAGTTGGAAATTATTTTGAAGCTGGAGGCTGCAGGAGTTCAGCCACGAACATAGGTGTTAAGGGCATCGTAGCACAACCCTTTTGTTAGTCTTTGAAAGATCATGAGCATACAATTGGAGTTATGTTTTTACAAAACAATACATGCAATTGGAGTCCACAGTTCCTTTAACCAAGTCCAATGTATGAACTCTGATATGGTTCATGAGGTCAATGACCACACCTCATGTTCACTTCTGTAATGATTAAGGCAACATGGCAACGGTGTTTAAAACCGTCGTGAAGGATAAAGAAGGGACAAAATGTGGAGAAGGAGGGAAGGAGGGACTTTTTTTTAAATTATTTTGAGATTATTTTGAACTTTCAATGTTCACTTTCAAATTATTGATGGAGGTTTACTGATTCCAACTCTATGTGCTACTCATTTTCATTTATAAATGAAAGAGTCATCGCCATTTTGTTTCCTGTAACTTAATTAAGGGGATACCATATTTTCTTGTTAATCTGCTGGATTCATTATCATATTATTTACAAAATTTTTGGACCGAAAACATGGTGCATATCTTGGTTAAGGTGCGGCTAAGTCCATAAAAGTGATTGGAGGTCAAGGATGGATTGGGTAGATAGTGTTAATGACAAAAATAGGCTTAAGTCTAGCTTTTCTGTAATAGTTTCTCCAATGTGGGGAAAAGCTAAGATTATTCCATATGCTAATGCTAGTTGCCATTTTTTTTAACAAATCATTGTCAATGTTATCTAAACCGAATACTCCTAGTGGTTTTTTGAGCTTTTCTCTTCTAGGGGGAAATAAATGTGAAGTGAGTTTTTTTTAACCCATTCATAAATTTTATGTTTTCTGTCACTGTTTCTTCCAGCATCATATTTATGTCATTCAGTCTTGGATTTGGAGTGGTTTACTTCAAGATGCTTGCTTTTGGTAATTTTTTCAGTATGTGTATATTTTTTTTCCATCTAGGTATTGCGGGGTTTAGGTAACCTTGTGGCTGGTGGTACAAACACCACCCATACTCTTCTCCTACCCGGGAGTGAAGTCACAGGTTAGCAAATTATATGGAAAAGAAGAGTAGTTTACTTTTGCATTTTGTGTTTATCAGTTTTTATTTTGACAATCTCAGATGCGGTTGTGAAGGTCCTTGTAAAATGTTTAAAGAGTGAGCACCGAGTCTTGAAGAAGGTATGCTTGGTCCTCTTTTTGTTGGTACAAAACTTAAGCTTTCCTTGTCACTGATAACCAAAACTTTTGTAGGAAGCAGCGTGGGTGTTATCTAACATAGCCGCTGGTTCTGTTGAACACAAACGGTTAATATATTCGAGCGAGGCATTGCCATGGTTATTACGTCTGCTCTCATCAGGCCCATTTGATGTAAGAAAGGAGGTGGCATATGTCCTGGGAAATCTTTGTGTTGGCCCAACAGAAGGTGATGCAAGGCCCTTTCTCATTCAGGAACACTTGGTTTCACTTGTGGGTGGTGGATGTCTTGCAGGGTTTATTGATCTGGTAAGGTCTGCTGATATTGAGGCGGCAAGAGTGGGACTTCAATTTATAGAGCTGGTAAGGAATAGATTATATTTAATTCATAGAACTTTCCTTGAAGGATGTCTTAATTCTGTCTAACATTGATTTTACAAGTTCTCTGGGCCTCTATTGGGCGCTTAGTCTTCTCTGGAATGTCTCCACTTTTCTAGCTGATGAAAACCTTGGGTAACTGACCTTGTTCTCATTCATCCTTGTGGTTACCTTTTCGTAGGTTGAGTTTCCCAAATATTGTGGCCCCAAAAGTTGGATATAATTATTTCCCAGAATTCTAGAATTTCATGGGTGATCTCAGGCTTTCTTTTTCAGACCTTTTCTGTTGGATTCAACTGTACTACTTTCAATTCTTTTTGTGTGTAATTTCTCTCTGGTAGAATGATAATCTGCAGACAAAGGTTTAAGAAAGATTTTCTGACAGAGAGGATGGTCCTTTCTGTCAGAAAGGTTTGGTGTTTTGTTCGCCATGCATTGGCTAGGTTAGTTGCCTTGGGAAGTTACTGACTGTGATTATAATTGGTAAAAAGGGCTAGGTTAGTTGCTGTTAGATGAAAAAAGTTTCGAAATATGCTTCCCTGGGAAGTTACTGACTGTGCCGATAATTGGTAAAAAGCCAGCAATGAGAATGGTGGATCGTCTGATCTTGCCAGTGACCCATTTGGAGTGACTCTTACTTTCAATTTACTACCTTTCTTAAACTTTGTGGCTCGCACATTTTGAAATTTTAAAAGAATCTAAAACCTATTTCAATACATGATATCGATTATTAGAGATGTATATACTTTTTTTAATTTTCAGAAACTTGTATATATTTTTTTCAATTCATATTTTGGAGGAAAGTCATAAGTAAAAGTAGTAAATAACTTATTGGGCTTCCCAAGCCTAAGAAAGTTACTCTTGGAATTTTTCTTACCAAATCTTCTATCCATGTTGGCAGGTTTTGAGGGGAATGCCTAATGGTGAAGGGCCGAAGCTTGTCGAGCAAGAAGACGGGATTGAAGCCATGGAAAGATTCCAGTTTCACGAAAATGAGGACCTGCGAAATATGGCAAATGGTTTGGTCGACAAGTACTTCGGGGAGGATTACGGGGTTGATGAGTTGGCTGGTTAATTCAAGGATGACCCTGGTTCTTGGCTTTTGAACTTGCAATTGTGTACATTAGGCCTGTGAAATTATTGTGGATCATTTTAGCTAGTTCAACAAGATGAGTTAGCTGTGGAAATCCATCCCTTTGATGTGCAGATTTCGCTGGGTTTTTTCTCTCCAGTCATCACTTGCTGTGTTCGGCTGTGTACACCCTTTGCAGCATCCTTTGGCACATCTTTTGCTGGAAATCTCTTTGTTCAAGGAAAAGCAATTTCGGGAAACATTTTCTTCCTTCCTTATATTTTCCTTTCAGTGACATCGAGCACGTGCCTTTTCTACGTCCATAAGCCTGAATCAGTGAGCACGATGCATGCAAAAATACGCATAGTGCAAAAATATGCATAGCCTAGCAATGTGTGCGCGTGCGAGCGTGCGTACAAAAACTTTTGGTTCACGTGTTTATTTCTGTAACTCAGAGCTTCAACTCTTTTAGATTATCACTTCTGCCTGTCCCTTTCGGGATGTTCATTGGTTTTGAAATGTTCGCCGTAGTGCATGAGCTGATCTCAGATGGAGGAACATTGAGATCAATCTCATAAACAGCAGGCGATCACAATACTTAAAGAGAACTTATCCAAGTTGAACTTAGAATAAAATCACATGCAATCTGTACTATTTTAGAGTGGCTGACTGATTGGATGATTCCCGGTCTCCATCCATCTATTTTAGGGCTTCGGTCGACTTTCAATTTTCAAGTTGCATAGTTATTCTGTCTGACAGCCATTGGTCAGTAGAGATTTGTCTTCTCGCATGACGTAGTTGAAAAGTTCACTTTAACCACTGTTTGTCCAATCTTCGGCTGAAAGCCCTTGTATATGTTGATGTCTTTCTTCTGCTTCAAGTGAACCAAATTCCTGTGTTCGCCAAGTTGAATTAAATTATTAAATTCGGGCATACACATCAAGGTTGCCTGTGACAATCAACAACTATTAAGGATCTTTCCCCTGCTCCTTACCTCTCCCAAATACAAACCTTCACTCTAGATCCAAATTATCAATATTTTAATACTGCTTCTTTTATCTACATTATTAGCTCCTCTGCCCATAAAATATTATAAATGACTACAGTGTAGTGCATCAAACCTCATTGTCAGTGGGTTAATTTATTTCTGCCTCAAAAGCTCAAGATTCTCGTGACTCTTAACTTGTTTCTGCAGAGATGGGATCGGTGGAAAGATCAAAGAAGAAAGCGCAATATTGGAAAAGAGCCATTTTCCGTTTCTCTGTATGCCTCCTTATCGGTTTCTTCACAGGCTTCGCTCAGACAATTAAAGCCTTCACTTTCGCCGGTCGTGTAGCGGTCACCTCGGATAAAGCGGATTTCTCTCCTCACACAGAGCCAATATCTAGGACAAGCGTTGTCGTCAACGCGAGTTTGAAAGCCGAGACAGCGGCCGTGGCTGCTTTAGCTGGAGGAGAGGATCAGTTGCAGGAAGAAGAAGAAGAGGAAGTCGAATTGATTCCAAGAAGACTCCTCATAATTGTCACACCTACAGGGACAAAAGACAAGTTTCGAGGGGTGTTCCTAAGAAGGTTGTCCAACACTTTGAGACTTGTTCCTGCACCGTTGCTCTGGATCATTTTGGAGGGACAATCCCAATCCAATGAAGTATCGGAAATACTCAGGAACACCGGCATCATGTACCGACATTTGGTGTCCAAGGGGAACTTCACCGACCCGGAAGCAGAAACTGATCATCAGTTCAACGTTGCTCTACATCACATCGAGCACCACCGGATAAGTGGGATCCTCCATTTTTCGATGATTTCGAATACTTATGATTTGGACTTCTTTGAGGAACTCAGGGAGATAGAGTATGCACAAACATTTAACTCACTTATACATTCAAATTTATCTCTGTCATGATATTTCTGACGTCTTTCCTCTTTTCATTTATTGCTGTTTCGCAATGTCTGGCAATGAAAGAAACTGATGTTGGTTTGTACCAAATGATGTTTTTTTGAACTAAGTAGAAGGAGGGGATGAATGTCATACTTCATCACCATGTCTAAAGTCAAACAATTAAAACTCTTCTTTTCCCTTCTTCTCGATGAGAAATATATATCATTTCAATTTACTAATTGCAGGGCGTTGGGAAAGTGGCCAGTGTGCAAAACTACTTCACAAGCTGGAGGATGGCATGATGGTGACAAGAGCAATGGCACAGACCCAAGACCTCCATTGATGATGATTCATCCTTCAAGTTTTGCATTCAACAGTTCTATTCTGTGGGACCCTGAAAAATGGGGTCGACCTTCGTCATCTGCTCATCCGACCACCACCACGACCAACGCCGCCCAGGTACACAGGCAGTTACACCAGTCTTAGGGTACCTAGCCTTAGATTGCTTGTTTGGTGATAATAATTTCGAAATAATTGCTCAAAAGCAAGATTTAAATATGTGGGATCAAGACCTTATTGAACTTAGGCCAGCAGATTGAGGCATATTTGAAATTGGTCTATTAACAATTCATAGTAGAAGAGATGCATATTCTGACAGGAAGATACAACGTTTTTTTGGTGCAGTGCAAATGCAATGATGGGTCCATGCATTACATGTATAATTGAGGTTTTCTTTTAAATTATTTGTTTTCCGGCTCTATGAATTATTGAATATGCGAAAGAGTACTTGAGAATCTGATCATATCTTTATGCTGCAAATAAAAGGTTATAGGCTCTTGGAATTGCTAAGTCTAGGTCCGTAGAAATTTGGCTAACCTCCAACCTTTTGCCAATAGTTTATAGATTTGCATAGCCGGTTGGTCATATGAAAGCATCAAGCTTTTGGATTTATATTTCGGAATCTGTACACGTACTTCTTTTAGACCCATATGAGATTTGGACCATTTAACTTAGTAGGTCTACTAGATTCACACACGAGACCCGTCATATTCAATGATTCATCCGGTTTCAGGATTCACACCTTCTCAATGTAACAATTTTTTTTTTATAAAACTGACCGAACAAAACAAAATTCGCCGAATTTTTTTTAGCCTTTTCTGGTTGGCTCTTTACTGTCATAATTTAAATTGAAGAGCTTTTCATTATTTTTTTGTCTTGCTTGTTTAGGACCTGTCGAAGTTTGTGAAGCAAATTGTTCTTGAAGATGACGCGGCACTAAAGGGTGTTCAAGGAAAAGATTGCTCCAAGAACTTGGTTTGGCATCAGGAAATCCAGGTTAATATTGGGAAGTCAAAAATTGAACAGTTATGAGGAAAGTCCAAAAACATGCAGGGGAAGCAATGAAGGCATTTCTAACTCATTTGAAAAAAATAATTTATCCTGTATCAATTATTTTTCCCTGTAAATTTGTCGATTTTCATTTTATCATTAGTCGAGTATAAAGCCATAATTGATTTTGGTGTAGTTCTGCTTTAATTCTGTTTTTGTTTTTTGGAGTCAATTGTGCAATCAGACATTGTACAGATCACAATAAATTTAAGGAAATGGCAAGCAAATTGGCTTAGCCTTGAAGATCACACCAATTTGATGCAGTTGCGAAATTGACACGGTAATAATGGTCTGACTTTCACTGGCAAAAAGCCCTAAGTATTGTCCGGTTCCGGATATCCAATCCGATCCTGAATCTTTTGAAAAAGTACAATCAAGTTTACTTTGCCCAAAAACTACTTGCTAGACAATTGAGCATTGTTTGTAGGACAGTCTGAAATCAGAGCGTTGGGGATCGAAAGAGCCCCGTTGCACTTTTTAACAAAAGATGTTAGGATTTTGATTGCTTCAATAAAAAAATGTAGAGTCGAAGTGTTCTCCCCGTACGTAAAGGTAGGGACTTTTGCTGTAATTCCTTCTCCAAATTTTCTTCAAGTGCTAGGGCCTTTGTGGGCTTACAGAACCCAGCGAAAGCTCGCATGGTACCCTGAAATCTGGGCTGGTCCTTTCCTAGGCCGAGGATCGATCATTGATCTTTGTCATTTGTGAGAATGAAACCAAATCATCGCTATCCCACGATTCGTGACACATAAAACTTTCGAAGTTACTCGATGAGCGGATGAGATCTATTCATTTGTGATCCGACACCCACCCATCTCTCTAGGAATCATCCGCAACGCATCTTCCAATTCCTTAAAAAATCGCCCGGAGAACTATTTCTCCGAAAGATTGTAGAAATTCCCTTCGAATGTTCGTGAGCTCATGCATGTCTTCTCGTATTGAGAAATCTTTATGTCAGCCCAATGCTAGGTCCTATCCCATTTCGTCCATCTAACAAGTGAGATCTACAATTTTGTTTACTTGAATGTTATCGATGTCAACATAAATGGTCAAATAGAGAAAAAAGAAGAGAAGAAGAAGTAGATGTTACAAATGCACCGAGGATTGCTTACTTTGTTTCCTTGAACCATCATAGGTTTCTTCTTAAAGATAAAAAAAACATAAATTGCTAACTACTTCGGCTCATAGATTATGAAGAAGGATAATACTATGATCCCTAAACATTTCCTCGAATCAATATCATACCCGAATTAATCTTTTTCAATCTATTCCCCGAGCTTCTAAAAGTAGGTTCAATGCGGTCTTTCTGGTAAACACAATGTAATATCGCACGCTTTTCCCTAATGCGGACTGACTGCCATCTAGCAATGAATGGGCTGGAAAACGACAGAGACCCATAATTTATGCTTTTCCAATCGTGGGAAGATATATAGTTTTCATTTCTTTTTCCCGTTTACCTTTTTTTCTTTCTTTTTCTTTTTCTTTCTTCCTCAACTACCAATAGTGTCCAAGGGTGCCATCGATGGCACAACTCTTTTCTCTCTTCTGATTCAAGATCGTTGCACCTCATATTCGATGTCATGATCTCAAAATTCCAGATCGTAGTCCTCAGATCAAAGAAGAGAGGGAGATAAGGAAAAGTGGAAAAGGGGATGTTGATGAATGCGTGGGGTGGCGATGGCGGAGCTGTCGAGTCTTAAGTGCTAGCGATGATGGTGATAGCAATGGTGGTGGTGGTCGGGTTTGGGGTGCTTGTGGGGGTGGTGACCGAGTCCAGTAGTGATTGTAGAGCGGGTGGTGCGGCCGAGCATCGCGTTGGTGAGTGGTGGTGGTGTCCAAAACTAGCGGCTTGTAATTGGATAACGCCGACGTAATTTCCGTTTAAGATAGAGAGACAGAGAGATCCCGCACCCGAAAGCCACGTAAATGCTGATACTTGTGAAAACGACGTCAAGTGAATTCTTAAAAGTTTAGAGACTAAATTGAATAGAAAAAAAAGAAAATTCATGCACCGCACCTAACAATGTTTATGAAACAAAAGTTGAGGATTACCAACATTATCAATCCTTACGATTATAAATTCCCTTTCCTCTGCAACCTCCCCCATCTTCTTGATCCCAAAGGAAACAACATAGGCCAAGACGTCCCACCATCAATATCACAAACCCCAGAATGTTATTATACTTTATATATAGTAGCTATCCCATGTTCTTTTCCTTTTGCTTCCTCTTGGGGCCCTTAAACAGACAACCAACGTCCGAGGCTTCGATTGTTCTTGGCCCCCTCTTGTCCCATAACTTTCCCCCCCATTTTTAGGCCAAACAGGAGCCGACGACTTAGTGCTTTTTTGGAGCGATCGAGCGAGGCCAAGACCACTGCAGAATTCACGGCAATCAAAAGGGTCGTCACCAACTGCCGCAGCTCCCATGTGATCACTGACCGGCAATGTTTTGTGCTCGTGACTCTGGACCTATCGATCCGACCAAAGCACGACATGGGGGACGATTTCGGTGTTTGCTGTTGGCCCCAGCTTGATTCGGGCGAATCGGTACATGCATCGAATAGGACAGCAAGCACATGTTCTCGGACACCCTTCCTCCAGTTTCGTTGAGGAAAGAGGTTTCGGTCCATTGAACACAACCCAGATCTTTTGGGTTCAAATCAAGATTTGGGATCTACAAACCAAACTGTTTCCCTTTCTTCTTTGTTTGACTCTCCAAAGATTCTAACCACAAACAAGGTATTGACTTGGTTGCCCCCCTCTTGGTAACCCTTCACTGTGGGGTTAATGATTGGTTCTTGGTCGTCACATCCCTCTATCAACTTCAAAAATCAAATGGAATTGGAGTTACCGCATATTTCTTACAGAGAAAAGGATCTTGTTAACGAGTGATATAGAGATACCAATTAAAACTATAATGCATATCCACGTATCTTGAAAATTTTAAAAAAGAGTATATTTGAAACGAAGTGACATATTTAAAATTAAAAGAGTTTATACGACTCTCTTGACAAATGTATTTGAGGAAGTCCCGGTTCTCTTATTCAATGCTAATGGATTTTCTTCTCTTTTTAGCAACTTTGAAATAAAGATTGCGATTTTGATCTTTTTCAAGAGAATCATCATGTAGTAAATCAATCTTTCTCTTTCAAGTTTACTGCTACTATACCGGAATCAAAATGGTCTCCGCTCCTATGTCAATGTTTACGGAGCGAGAGCTTCAAGCCACCATTCTTATCTTAGGTTTTAAGTAGAACCATCCCGTAAGATAAGCCAAGAATAAGGGTAGCTTTTCCTTTTGACATTTTTCTAAGCGAGAGCTTTAAGATAAAGGCAGGGAACAAACATGTCATCAAAAGAGTTTACGGAGAAGAAGCAAGGTAATCTGAATAAACATAATTGAAAGTAAACAGCCATTATAATCCTGGATGAACTGCGAGAAGCAACGGGTCACTAGAAACGGCGCGTGCAAAGTGAAAGAGCGTGCGCATCGTGAAAAGCACTGCAACAGCAGTCAAGTAGTCAGCTTGGGCTCTTCTCTCTCTGCAGAGACTGGGTTTTTGGGAAGTGAGAAGTGAAGAAAGACAGCTGAGGTCGACGTAGAAGAAGAACCAGAAGGCGAAGATGCCATTGGCCCAATCCAATCCAATCAAAATCCCTTCCTTCCCGTGACCTCCGTCTCTCTCTAAGAGTTCCTTCTCTAGTTTTTCCATGCTTTTTCTCGAGGATAACCACACAATCAATACATTGAATTTTTACGCAATGTGTAATCTGATTTCTAAATTTTTAATTTATTTAATATAGTCCCTGAATTTTAACTTAATATTTAATATGGTCTCTAAATTTTTAATTTATTCAATGTGATTCTCGAATTTTTGGTATATATTCAATTCAGTCCCTAAATTATATAAAAATATTATTAAAAGTTCAATTCAATCCCTGAACTATATAAAAATGTTCAATGTAGTCGATCACATTAAATAAATTAAAATTTTAGGGATCATATTGAATATTAAAATTTAAAGATTATATTGAATAAATTAAAAATTCAAAGATTAAATTACATATTGAGCCAAAGTTCAGAGACTGTTTACGTAATTTTTCCCCTTTCTCGGGGACATCCTCCTCGGTTTCGCCCACATTGTTCAAAACCAAACCAACTCGCATCCCTGCTTCAACCCCCGCCATTTGAAAAACCTCATCTGCCGGCGGTAAGCTCGAAATGCCCTTGTTCTATTCTTACCACTTTCTCCGTTGAAGTGCATTCCTTTTGCGACTATACAGGTGCTCTGTTTTCTTTTTTCCTTTCCTTTTAATCCGTGTGTTGTGGTGTAACTCTTCTCTGCTTTCTTCCGGCGAAATGCAAATCTGTTCGCATCAAGTTAGGACCTTTTTTCTTTCGCTTGCCTTTAAATGGAGGAATCCGAAATGGGGTTCTCTTGTAAATTTAAAAGAAGATGTTTCTCTTGGGGGACATATTTTCTTTGGTCTGAGCTCGTCAAGTAAAGTTGGAGCCTTTTCTTCTGTAGCTTCCGTGTTCCTTTTCCCCTTTCGATGGTGGTGCCGCTTTTGCCCTGTTGTTAAGTATTTACTATCAATGGCAAATTTCAGATTTGTTGAATGATTTTGCTAGATATTTGTGGGGGGGTTGTCGCTTGTGATTTCATACCGGAAATGCCCTACGAGACGTTACGCAAGCTGTTAATGCTCGAGCTTGAAGTTTTTGGAGATCTTCCCACTTCCTCAGGAAGCCCTCTAGTGATTTTAATAAGAAAAGGGCAGTCTTCGTGGTCATTATTTTCATTTATTGCTCTTTTTGCTTTTTGGCCCATGATGTTGGGTGTCCTCCAATACTGTGCCTTAAACTCAAGAGTTAAGTGATAGAGTAAAAGGGAAGGAAGGTGAAGAGGAAAGGATAAAAAAGAAAGAGAAAAAAAAATTGCAGAGACGCTGTTTATGATGAATTCAGTGAGTTCTTTCATGCTTTTTCTATTTTCTTATATGGCTAAAATCTTTTAGGGTTCTTGTTTCGTAGTTGTGGTTGGTAGTGGGGTGGAAAGTGTCTGTGGAGTTTCTTTGAAGGGATCGTGTGTTTGTTTGTTTGTTGGGTAATGTACTAAATACTCATTGAGGTGGCTGTCCCTGTCGTGGACCATTAACCTAGTTTCTTTTATACATCATCATACTTACATTCCTACATGCTTGCACATACTTTTTTCTTTCCCATTAATTTCTTCAAGAAGGAGTTTCATTGGAAAATGTTGCAGGAGGTGTGGGTCAGGGGGTTGTGAAGGGGAGGGGTTCGTCTCTACTCGTTTTGCTATTTGGTTGAGGAGGACCTAAATCATGCAGACGCCACAAGCACGGTGAGTTAGCCATTTGATCCGATGCGCTAGTATTCTCCGACTTGGTATTTTCTCTTCTGTCAAGAATACAGAGATTCTGTTGCTGTGAACGGCGTGTTGCTGTTAACAGTATGTTCTTGAATTTGCTCTAGGAGCATTTTGTGAGAACATGCAAGAATAATTTGGGTAAGATGCTTGTTCTGGTAACAGAATAAGGAAGTGCTTCTCACGTTCTGTGTCATCATAATCTTTGTCGATTGATCTATTAGACACAGCCTTTATCTGCACTAATCCATGGACTTGTTTCTGTTTTCAGTGTTATGTTGTATGAGCCATGGCAGGAACCTAGTCATTCGCATAGATCATGGTCTTCTTGCCTCATTTCGGATATCGTTCTCTACCATGTGTTAAATTTATGTATCAGCTATTAATTAGAATCCTGTGAGCTAAATCAGATGCATACCTTCTGTGTTATTACTTGCTGATTGTAAGAATGCATTTCTGTTAGCTTCTTTTACACTGAATCATCTTAATATCTTCTAAATTCAAAAATCGGAAAGTCTCTACCTCTATGCAGATTTATGCAATTTCTGTTTTAACTTTCTTTCATATGAGTGCATATAAAGACTCTAAACAAATTTCAATTTCTTGTCATACTAAATATTCTGTTTTCACATTCCTAGGCAATTTTAGTTTGGTTTTTCTATTTTTCTCCATGAAAAAAGTGCCATATTTCCTTTCAGTTTATATGCTACTGACTAAACATGTCAAGTGTATGGTAGATTCATAACATCTTACATGTTAGTTGTTATGTATGCCTCGTTGATTTTGCGGTTGGGCAGCTTGTGTTTACTTGAGTAGGTTCGAGTTTATTAGTGGCAATTGTCACCTTACACATGTACTATATGCATAATTAGCCTGCTAGTATTGGTACACCAGCTTGAAAGGACACCTGCCTTGACATCTGCCGATTCCTGATGACTAAAAAGTTGCACCTGAACAACCATTAACATCGAAAAGTCTATTAAGTGCTGTTGGCCCTTCCCTTCTTAACATACCCTTAATGATGGTTTTGCATTGACTAACATGTTGCAGCCGGAAGAAGAACCGTATTCCTTCTACTGTAATTTCATATGATTTATTTTTTGGCATGTTGGTGAGACAAAGTACTAATTAATTTTCATGTTGAACTTGTGGTGCAGAACCAATTCTCAGGAAGTTCCTCAAAGGAAATCGCCCGGAACGCCTCGAACTTCGCGCCAGCTTAAAATTCCAGGATCTGATCCGGAGAAAATTTCATCCTCCCCAAATGCTCCTGCAAGGACTCCTAAAGACAAAAGTCCTAAAGTTGCTGAGCGCAAGTCGCCTCGAACTTCAGCATCATCTGAGGTACTATTTGTGAAGGCAATATCAGAACCCACCGTTGACTCTAGCAATTTGTGAAATCTGAAATTGATGCTGCGTTCATGAATTTGCATGCTTATCTATGTGCTGATACACATGCATTCTCTCACCCTTCTATGCTTACGGTGTTGGTCTTTGTTGTGAGTTTCTAAAAAACAATTTTATGTTCAAAGACTGCAAACAGTTGAGAAGTTTCTGCATAGTAAAATGTTTTTCAAACTACTTTCTCAGTACAGGCTTTGAAATCAGATTTTAAGCAAGCTTGCTTTTGTAGATGCCATAATAACTTATTTCAGTTGTTATCATCTGGCTATAATTAAACATGCCAGATATATGCGAACATGTGCAATACTGGTTATGTAGACAATATACTTTTCTACATGGTCACTTACAGCTTGGAAGTTTTCTCTATGAAGTTTCTCTGAGCCTTGATTTTTTCTTTTAATGATAAATGTTTTTGCATTCATGAACTACAGAAGAAACGCTTGAGCAGAGCATCCGAATTGGAATCACAGATCGTTCAACTCCAAGAAGATCTGAAGAAGGCAAAGAACCAATTGGACTCATCTGAATTGGCAAAAAGGCAAGCCCAGCAGGAAGCTGAAGAGGCCAGGAAGCAGCTCTTGGCCATGTCAAAAACACTTGAGGAGTTGCAACAGCAGCTGTTGGAGCTTTCGGCTTCTGACGAAGCCCGGGTTCAGGAACTGCTTAAAATTTCCCAAGATCGTGATAAAGCTTGGCAGTCCGAACTCGAGGCCATCCAAAAGCAATACTCTTTGGATTCAGCTGCATTAGCTTCAGCCATGAATGAAATAAAGAAGCTCAAGGCACACCTAGAGATGGTGGCTGAATCTGAAGCTACCCAAACTAAGCACGCAGAATCAGCGCATCACGAGATCCAGCGTTTGAGGATGGAGCTTTCGGAAACCCTAGCCCTCGTTGAAAACCTGAGGATCGAGCTTACTAACTGCAGAGAGTCGGAAGCTCAGGCTCTAGAAGTCGTGAACAATGCTCAGAAGCAATTGGAAGCGGCAAATGCCACTGTCGAGATATTTCGTTCAGAGAGCATGAAAGCCAAGGATGCTTATAGCTCTCTATTTATTGAGTTAGAACAGTCGAAATCTCGAGAAAAGTCTTTGGATGATCTCATGAAGAAACTCCAAACTGATCTTAGTGGCAGTAACAATTGTCCAGCTAATTCCACAAGCGATGCAAACTTCCCACTCGGAGATAGCGTAGATGAAGACATAAACAAGCTCAAAGCAGAGCTTAATTCCGCGAAACTTGAGGCAATTCAATTAAAGTCGGCTCTGGGTACTGCTGAGACTAGGTATCAAGAAGAGTATATCCAGAGCACATTGCAAATCAGAAGTGCTTATGAAACCGCTGAACGTATAAAACAAGAGTCCTTCCAGAGGCAGGCTAAACTGGAGGCCGAATTAGAGGCAGCCAAGAGTCTTATTGAAGAACTGACTGCAAAATCAAAAGAAAAGGAAGCAGAATTCCAGACTGTCTTGGATGAGAATCAGAAACTAAGTGTGAAGAAGGAGAACGACCAGGCCAGTGCAAGAGAATATGAACTCAAGATGGAGTTGAGCAAGTCTCAGGTGGATTTGGAAGGTTTGAAGGAAAATATATTGGAAAAAACAAGAGAGATGCAGAATTTGGCTGAGGAATATGAAAGGCTCAAGAACGAAATAAATGAGAGGGATGTGGACAAGAACAAAGCGAATGATGAGGCAGTGGCTTTGGTGGAAGCTGCGCGGGCCGCGGAGCGAGAGGCTTCGATGAAACTGGGATATCTGACAGAGGAGGCTGATAAAAGCAGCAGGAGAGCAGCTCGGGTCACCGAGCAGCTCGATGCAGCTCAAGCTGCGAACTCGGAAATGGAGGCCGAGTTGAGGAGGCTGAAGGTGCAATCTGACCAGTGGAGGAAAGCAGCTGAGGCTGCGACCGCCATGCTTTCTGCTGGGAACAACGGGAAGTTTGTCGAAAGAGCAGGCTCCCTTGACAATTACCATACTCTTGGTTCACCTTATTCCGAAGACATGGACGATGAATCTCCCAAGAAGAAAAATGGGAACATGCTGAAAAGAATCGGTGTCTTGTGGAAGAAGGGGAATAAGTAGATGGAATAGCAGGTAGGCAAGCTGATCTTTGTTTCTTCCATTACTTCTTTCGTTGTTTAAGCGACTCTTTTATCTATTCTAAGGAGCTTCGTGATGATTCGGCTATTCTGTTATCCTTGTTGAATTCTTGAGAATTCTCAGTGGACAAGTCCATTGTAGAGTGTAGCATTATAATATGGATAAGTTTTAGTGGCTTATACACACGCAAAAATTTGTGCAGGTATGTTTATACTCACGAGCCTTTTTGGGTTTAGAATTGTCTATGGTGCCTTGGATGAAGCGCTCCTCTGCCTTCACTGCAAGGTGATGCTGGGCTTGATCAACAATGTGCAGAATTTAATGTATGATTCTGCAACGATTTAGAAGTTGTTTGTAGAATGTTCTCATTCTAGCTTTGGAAACCGAAAACTGTATACATTTGCGCACGAGTAGGTCACTCTGGTCACATATGATATGTGAGGATCTTTACGCATGTTATCTTATTCGCTCTGTAGAATCATTTGTTTGCCCTTCTTTTGGCAATTTGCAGTTTGATGAAATAGTTGTATGGATGAACAGCTTATGCAGACACGCAAGTCTGGTTTCCAAAGAGTGGATTCGGTACAGGGAAACTAGTATTGCTAATGAAACACGGCGACAATACTATGCTCGCAAAAACTGACCTTATTAGTGCATGAGCCGGATGCGTATGGACCTCATTAATCTCAATTGTTGGAACATGTGGTTTCACATAGGATTCGGCCAACGTTGTATGTGCCATGGGTTCGTGTGCATGAGAAATACACAGGCATCGCTCCAAAGAACGTTGGCGACGACTCATTAGCAGCAGAGGTGGATATGAAACGCAAAACAAGAACAAGAATAAGATGCAAATGAGGATTGATGGAGCATGAATACGGTCCCTCTTATTCCTAGTACTTGAACCCATCAAGACAAGCACTTATGGAACGGGGATATCTTGAATCAGTTCGGGATTTTCTTTTCAGGAAAGGAGATCCCGAATGATGGCTGGAGTTAGCGTGCCCTGTTGACTCTTGAACGGCGAAATAAGAAAAGTTCTGCAATTTTCTACTGCGATGACTTTTTGGGAAAAAGCTACCAAAAACTTTAAACTTTGTCTACTATGACACATTTATCTCGAATTTTTTTTAACATAAAAAACTTCAAACTATGCTATCCATGACATATTTATCATAAACTTTTTTTTGTGACAAAAAACCCACAATTTGTACTTATCTGATATATTTATTCTCCGTCAAAGTTTTCATCAAAATCATTCAAAACATAGTTTTTATTTCACTTAAGCCATATGGGCATCATGTCAATATCGTTTGCTTTCCAGCTTTCATGTAGGCAGATTTTTAACGGTGTTCATTGACAGAACCTTGATGGACATAAATGTGCTGTACAAATTTGGGATTTTTGGTGTCATAGAAAAAAAAAATTTATAGTAAATGCGTCACAATGAACATAGTTTTGGGTTTTTGGTGGCTTTTACCCTAACTTTTCTAGTTCCATTGTGATTGTTATTTTCAGATCGAATATTTCAAAAACACTAGTTAATGTGATTTAGCACAAGAATAAAGTATCATTTCTCATTAAAGAAGAAAAAATCTGTGACACTTCTCCCTTTTAAGAAATTAGAGATTTAGATTGATGGACCTCAACTCAAATACAGAATATTTCTCTAGACAATATATCTTTTCTTCTCAAATTTATTCGAACGTCTATAATACCGACCATGCGAAAAATAACGTGGCATTAGTACGAGAACTTACCTTTATTAAGAATCGATGTCTTTCTAGGAAACCGAAGGAAGAGCTTTTTACCGAGCCCCATTTGTTACCCATTGTTCGCTTTATGGGGCCCTGAGTTTTTCGCAGAGGTTTGAGCCAAAGTCTGTCGAATTTAAGATATTATTTAACTTTAGAAAATTTTGCAAAAAATATATGTAAATTTATGTGTTCACATTTTATGAAAATCTTGTTTCGAGTTTTAAAAAAAATCAAATTGCTTGTGCTGTAAAATTTTGATTAGTAAATAGTAAAAATCAATTCAGACGGGCTAGCCTTGCTATTGAGAGAGTATTGTTAGATAACGTTTCACCACGTGGTAGTGACACATGGTGTAAAATTCCAATTAAAGTGTATACATATTACACAAGGTGGTAATAATTAAGATAAGATGCATATCATGCGGTTAATATGATTGGTCAATTTTAATATGCCATCAATCTCCACTTGATGTAACTGTCACATAATATGCTTTTTTTTTAACAATGACAAGGGGTATGCCCTGTCTTATCAATTATATCGATTTGAGATTCTTCGTGATACTATAGTGATATGATACATCAATTAAGATGTGAATCAAAGCTCGGGCAACCAACCTAAACGAGGAACGATTTGCTCTTGGTAGCTTAGGGATTGCACCTGTATCGCGCGCAATAAATATATACGCACAACTCGGTTCTTATCTGTTAAGCAACCCCATAAGGTAAATACTAGCTCCGTTTGTTTTAAGAAAAATGTATGCTATGGAAGACATGCTTGCATCACCTGAAATAATTAGCTAATGAAAAAAAGTTTTATCATCGACTACAATTTAGTATAAACATTTTTATGAACGATGAATATATTTTTTTTCATTCAATTTTTGAAAGCGTCATTTTTAGGAAAATATTTTCCAGATTAGCACGATACTAATGGAGCCTAAGGAAAACTGCTTTCGATAATTTGTTTTTCGACTTTACCGGTATTCTGATGACGGAAAACTAATCGATCTACTAAATTTTTTTTCATGTACTGAAAATAATAAGCTTAGAATTGGAGGAAAATAACTTCTTCGGGCAAAATGAAATCCACCTTCTCTAAACCACCAAACAAATAAAAACGGAGCCAGGCCTTTGGGCCCAAAGCATTCAAGGCCCAATCAGAAAACAGGCCCAAACAAGCCCGACCACGCACACACACGTATATAAACCGCCATTGACGAGCGCCTCTAGGGTTTCTTCTTGCAGCTGCCGCTCCGGTCTTCTTCAACCTCTCTCCAAACTTCCTCCAGAGGCCGGACAACGCCTACTCAGCCGCCATGGGGTACGACACTGCGACTCTACCTTCTTCTCATCTTCGTGATTGTTCTAGTTTCTGATTTGTCGAACGTGCGACTCGGTTCTTGTGGTTTTGGATTCTCATGTTTTTGGATTGGAAGCTAGATATGTTTTGATCTGTCTCTAGAGTGGTAGAAAGATTTGAGGTTGCTCGAGGTTGTGTTTTACCGGACCGGGCGATGAAATCGATGCTGCTGCTGCTGCTGCTGTTCTTTTCGTTTCTTTAATCTTTTTGAGTAAAGGAAAAATCAAGAGTGTTTGATGACTGAAGTCTAGCCCCCATTTGATTTTGGGCCGAGTCAATAATCTGGGCAGGTTATGATGGTAATACTGGGTTTGGATTTGAAAATTACATCTGTGTCAATTTGAGTTTTTCTCAGTATCAGAATGGCTGAATAGCTTTGAGCAGCTCCGTAAATTTCTGAAAGGCGTCTCTGGGTTTTGGTTCTTCAGCATTTATCGACTTTGTTAATCTTCATCAGTTTGTTAGAGGAGAAGGCTGGCTTATAAAAAGCTCTCTGCTTGATTGTATACTGATGAGAACTTTCGTTTCGGGTGTATCTTTAGTTCTGTTGCCTTAGTTGTGGTTTCAGAGTTTATCTTCCGAAGCAAAACCTAATGATATGTTAGGTTTGACCTTGGGATATTGGGATTTGGGGAATAAATTTGCACCCCTTTAATTAGTAGAGCCATATGAAATTGCCTCTATAACTTTGGACACTATGCCACATCTAAATGTGGCCATACATTCTAGTAAATTTTAAGCTGGAACATTACCTTAAGAGTATGTTAATGGCTTTTCTGTTTGGCATATAGCCTCTGTTGGCTTCAAAGAGGAGAGGCCTTTGACAAACAATAGAGGAGATAGAAGTGATTAGCACAAAGTATGGTTGACATAGCGTCAGGAGATGTGTATCTTCACATGATGTAATAGCAGTACGTTCTCTGTCCTAAAAGAGGGCACTGCAATACTTTTGAGGATCAGTTGAATTATTAGGAGATAGCTGCTCAATGTCTATTGATAAGCTACCCTCTATCGATACTTTGGGAATGCCTATTCAATTTGAGTTATGGCACTGCTTTCAGCTATTTTTCATCAGAGATAGGTAACATAATGATATCTAGGCGACCTGTGTCAGTTTTTCCAATGCGCTATAGGGGATGTGATGTATGGTTATTAGATGCTAAGCAGACATTTCCTTGCAGGAAGACACGTGGTATGGGATCTGGTCGCAAATTGAAGTCTCACCGAAGGAGGCAGAGATGGGCTGACAAGTCATACAAGAAATCTCATCTTGGCAATGAGTGGAAGAAGCCATTTGCTGGGTCTTCTCATGCCAAGGGCATTGTCCTTGAGAAGATGTAAGATTCTCTCTCTCAATCTCTCTCAAGTACACAGAAATAAAAACTACTGATTCTTTATCAAGTATATTGTCTAAAATGTGCTAAATAATAATTACTTAATGCGCAGAGGTATTGAGGCTAAGCAGCCTAACTCTGCCATTAGAAAATGTGCCAGAGTTCAGCTTATCAAAAACGGGAAGAAGATAGCTGCTTTCGTGCCCAACGATGGTTGCCTTAACTACATTGAGGAAAATGTAAGATCTTCCATAGCGTATTATTAAGTATTCGACCGTTTTTCTCCTCCTCTTGTTGCCTTCTGGTTACTGACCATGACTGCAATTTCGAAACCAGGACGAAGTCTTGATTGCCGGTTTTGGCCGAAAGGGTCATGCTGTGGGAGATATTCCTGGTGTCAGGTTCAAGGTCGTGAAGGTCTCCGGTGTGTCCCTCCTGGCCCTTTTCAAGGAAAAGAAGGAGAAGCCTCGGTCTTAAGTTTGAATTTTGGCTTTTGCCCATGATGTCAGTTTAAAAGCTTTATTACATTTTGGGATGTTACTTTCAATTTTGATTTGGGCCTTTTGAACGATCCGTGATCACTCACCTAGGTTATTGCACCGGTTTCACTTCGAGTGACTTTGATATGAAGATTCTCTCTCTCTCGCTCTTTAGATTGTCGCACCGGTTTCACTTCAAGTGACTCGATTTGAAGAATCTCTCTCCCTCGCGATGGGTAATGACATTCGAATGCGAGGGGATATATCCAACTTGAACACCCATGTCAAACCCTCCTTATATTTTAAAAGTACAATAGTCTTTTGGACTTTTTATATTGGATTTCAAATTATATCTTATAATCGCGCAATTTATCGAATTGTCATTTTATTTCTTAAAGTACCCTCAGCCCAAAACGAAACCCAACACGCATTCTCTCTCTCTGTCTCCGCTCCTAGCATACAGGCCCGACGCAACCACCACCGCGTCTCAGCCTCTCCACCACGCACTGTCTGTCCCTCCTTCAGCAATCGTTGCAACCATTGTGGACCTCAGACGGGGCCGTGGGAGCTAGGGCGTCAGTGGCGGGGTCTCGCGGCAAGTTGGTGCTGTGGGGGTGGCTTGGTGAGGGTGGTGCTGTGTGTGAGGGGACTGAGGAGGGAGAACGGATTGGAAGAAGATAAAACAGGGGAGGGGTTTGGGCGGGTACGAAGGCAAATGGGTGTTTTTAGGTGAGGGGTATTTGATGTGTAAGAATGAATCCTTTCAAGGCAAATGGGTCTTTTAGGCGTAAAAAGTAGATTTCGAAATGTGAGAACGGTATATGATATGAAGAATAAAGTTGAGAATAGTTTTTACAATTATATCCAATGTAAAGTGATGTCCCATACCATATCGTGTTTTAATCCACAGTAGGTAGCTGAATTGCACAATGTTTGATATGCAACTATAGCTGCATGTATCATGTAGAAAGTTCTCTTCACCATTGGCAATAGAATAGGATTTGCAAGTTCATGGTTGACGTTCAATCCTTTATGGCACGTTTCTTGGCACACAAGAAACATGATCGTCCAGCGCACCAATGTCCATTGTAACACTTGGAGAAGAATTATACGTAACAAGATGCAGTATTCGCCCAGAGATTGAAAACACAGAATTGAGGAATATTTGGGTATGTTATGCACTTTGAGAAATGGAAAGGAAACTGCAGCTAAGATGTAAGCATTGTATTCAGATCCTCTCTCAACTCCATAAGTTAATCCTATCAAACACCTGTTTTGTTTCACACGGCAGGGACCTAACTTAATATCCCAACCGAGGTTACATTTCCGGGCCAAACAAAAATGAAGGGCACAAAAGAGTACATACACATCGTTTTTTCCCCCAAGATCTAACAAAAGCGACCATGAAGGTTGAGTCCGATGCTGGCGGTAGACTATGTAAATATCGAAGAGGAGGCTTTCGCCAGCAAATTTGACACACTGTTCATCAATCATCAGCAACTTGCAGCAAATGATACCTTATGGAGCATTACTTAAAAACCCCCGTCTTCCAAATGCAAAAAGTCCATACCTTTCCATAGATGTAACATGACACCATGGGCCAACGAGCTTGAAATGCAAATGATCCCTGACGAGGCAAAAAAGAAAGACAGGACTCTTTTAAATCTTCAAGATTCATGTATGAATTGAAAGAGTAACGCATAAACTGTAAAGAGCAATAGAAGACCTGGAGTCACAGCTTATCTTGCTGACGCTTCTTGTTGTGCCTTCTTAGGTGAGAAGAAGAAGCTTCAAGAGAGCTAGATCGCACGTACTTGAGACGATAACTTCGAAGTAGTGGCCCGAAAATACGATGCTCTCCGAGTCTGATGAAAGCAGTTTCTGCATCCGTACGATTCTTGAAGACTATTTTAACCTGCTTGCTCTTGTTCAACACTTTCGACTCCGATTCCTTCAAGGGGCCGAAGCAGCTGAACATCTTGTTCAGCTTAGTTACTGAAGGAGCTAGATTCAGGTTGGTAAAGGTCAAAATCAGAGCAGTCGAAAAATAGTCTTCCTTGGAACTCCCGGGGACTTCACTGTCAGGCTTTTTTCCTTCCACATAAGGATTTTCACAAGGAAATTGAGCTTCCTGAATCGAGGCAGGATCATAATGGTGATTGATTAGTGGTTCCGTAAGATGAGCAGGCTTCTTGCTTGGGGTTTCAAGCGCAGAATTCCCTGTATCCTCCTCATCTTTAAGCAACACTTTCTGTTCAGAAATGCTCTGGGTTATCCTGTCGGTCATAAATGCATCCTTTGAGCACTCAAGTGCCGTTCCAGAGACATCATCACTTGTACGTTTGCCTTCCACGTAAGGATCTTGAAAAGAAGCCTGTGATTTCCAATTCAAGACGGGACAAAACTGTTGATCTGTTTGTGGTTCCATAGAAGGCACAGGCTTTTTGCATGGGGCTTTAAGCAGAGAATCCCCTGCATTCTGATTTCCAAGAGACAGTTGCGGTTCAGGAAAGCTTTGGATTATCTTGCTGGACATAAATGAATCCTTGGAGCGCTCAAGCACCGTTGCAGGGATGTCATCGTTTGGCCGTTTTACTTTCATGTAAGGATTTGGACGACGGACTTGTAATTTCTGAATCAAGCTATGACGAAACTGGCCTATTTGTGGTTTGATGGAAGGAACGGGCCTCTCACTTTCAATCAGAGAATCCCCTGCATTCTGGTTTCCAAGCGATGGTTGCTGTACGGGAATGCTCTGGATGGTGCTGCCGGTGGAAAATGGATCCTTTGGGCACTCAATCCTCATTCCAGAGACATCATGAATTGGCTTTCTTACTTCCACCAGAGGATTTTCATGGGGCAATTGAGGAACCCGAGTAAAGGCAAGACAAAACTGGCGATCCATTCCAGAGACATCATGAATTGGCTTTCTTACTTCCATCAGAGGATTTTCATGGGGCAATCGAGGGCCCTGGGTAAAGGCAGGACAAAACTGGCGATCCATTTTTGGTACGACAGAAGGAACAGGCCTCTCACATGGGGTTTCAAGCTGAGAATCCCCTGCATTCCGATTTCGAAGTGTCAGTCGCGGTTCCTGTAAGCTACTAATTACTGTGCTGGTCCTGACAGTATCCTTGAAGCACTTCAGATCCATTGGTTCTGCGACGCCAAATTTTGTCAAAATACTCCGAGTCTCCACAACAGATGCTTCTAGTGCAGGCTCTCCACATGACTTCAATGGGAGATGATTCGGGACAACCAAATTTCTGAATTCCGAGAAGTATCTCACCGTGCAAGTCGGATATCTATTCTGTCTCATGGGATTGCCAGCAAGAAGACATAGCTGTAACAGCATCTGTTTAGGAGAGACATATCCAAGGAGGTTTTTTCTACTACAGGAATCATGGGGAATGAGACCAGAATGGCCGTTTTTGTTGCTTCTACCCGAGGGACTTTCTTTAAGATGCTCCGCCAATGGGAGTGACCCATTTGATTCACTTGCAAACTTAACGATTCTGTGCATCGCTCTATGATTTTGCTTGAACTGCATGGATTGGTCCATGCTGATCGTGCTAGGAGCACCTGTACATGCTGATACCGATTCATTTGGACCAGCAGCTTTGCCAAACGAGTTCCCACAAGCTCCTTTATCTGACCCAACTTCATCCGTCAACATACGCTGACAATTCTTCGCCGACGAGGCTGGGAAGCTCTTTCTCTTTCTTCCAGGATGCACCACGTCAAGCGAAATGTGCTTAAGCTCGTTCGAGTTGCTCATGTGACATTCTGTTTTCCTCTGGACCTCAAGCATTGTCATCCGATTTTGCTCGAACATGTGCACAGATTGATCCGCGCTAATCTTCATCAGAGCACCTGTACATGTTGATACCGATTCATTTGGACCAGCAGCTTCGCCAAAAAAAAAGGAGTTCCCACGAGCTCTTTTGCCGGACCCAACTTCATCAGTTAAAGTACGAAGACAGTTTTCAGCGCACAAGGCCAGGCAGGTCTTTCTCTTTCTTCCAGGATGCATGCCGTCTTGGAAACTGTTCTTACGCTCACTTGAGTTGCTTATGTAACATCCTGTCTTCACTGCACGCATCCCACGACAGCCCTTGAACTCTGGATTAGCGCCATCAATCTCTATAGGGTTCTGATAACAATCTCCTAATGGAGTCATGTCGGCCTCGTTCTCCAACTTCCCACTGAACGATATGAATTCAGGTAGCCGAGAAAACCCCTTCCATCGGGAGAAGGCCAACAGTTGGCTCTTCGCCACGGAAAGCAGGAGTCTGCTAGGTCCACCGAGAGGCGATTCGCCCCATTTTCTAACATACTTGACAAGTTCTCGAGGTGTAAAAGAAGCCGTACTCAGAACACTATCTTCAGCGCCCTGCTGACTTGAATTTTTCACCGAAGCAGCATTAACTTCAGCCTGAGCTTCGAACCTGGTTTGCACTTCTCTGGGCACACACCGGCAGGTCAGCACGTACTCCACCCGCCTAGAGAGATCGTCGAGAGCGCGGTCCACAGCATGACGGAGCTTATCCGTGCCGCTTTGCATCTCCATCAGTGGGAAATGCTCCCACAATGGCTTTATCAGCGAAACCCGATCAGGTCTACGTGCCCATTCCCCAAAACATGCTACCACAAAATAATCCTTCGTCACTCCGGCAGAGCAACCAGTTAGCTTCCCTGGCCACCAATAAGGGCCCCTTACTTTGCACCAGACGAGATCCGCTATACTGATCTCTCGGCCCGATTCTGCCGATCTTCCATTCCTTCGGGTTCCATCCCTTAAATCATCACAACCCAAAATGGGCGCCGTGGCCGCGGTACACTCACCCACATTACTGACACAATCCATGTATGGAAAGAGATGGCAATCCTCGTCCTTCTCCTTATCTCTGCAGCATTCTGTTTCAAGTTCAGAAATTGCACTCACGCGACCCCTGCTTCTATCTGCCCGACAAGCGAGCAGCAAATCAGCAGGCGCCGATTCCGCGCAACGCGTCGATAAATGCACGCGCGTTTACTTGAACTAGAGGCGAGAAACTAATAAACGAAAGAAATCCAGCAAACACATCGACATGAATTTACCTCGTCCGGCACATCAATCGTCGTCCCACCCGCACCATTTCATCCGCAGTCATGTCCAACGACGCCTCCCGGTTCCTCCTCCACCGTCAAATTCATCAGCCTACAAGGTTCCAATACCAAAACAAGATCAAACAATCGAGCCAAACCCCAGAAAGAGAACGAGATTGATCGCCGAATCGAGTCCCCGTTCCAAGGGCCGAGAGCGACGTACGTAACATTGCATCGCGCGTCAAGACACCACCTTTAAACCCACGACAGAAAGAAAAGGACGGGAAAACAGAGGAGCAGTAGTCTTGCAGCGCAGAAGGTTTGAGCCAACGAACCTGTTTCTTCTCGAACGGAATCCGCCGCCATCCGTTGCTTCGAGTCTGGCACGGTGCGTTGAGACAAGACGACGAGAGACTGCTTTCTTTATTCACGGCTCTGCTCGGAAGAAGAGCAGGACGAGGACGAGGATAGAGAAAGCGAGAGATACGATGAAGACGATGAAGACGATGGCGACAGGACGGCGACTCCTCCCACGTTTTTGTTCTTTCTTCTGTCTTTTCTTATGTTTATTGACTAGGTTTCGTTGACTCCGGAGGGGATTTTCTTTTCTTATTTTTTTTCGAAATCCTTTTTTGCTAGGAAATCTGCCCTCACGATTTTTTTTTGTTCTTCTTTTGAAATTGAATGGCTGAGACTTGGAACGTAAATGAAAATCATTATCTTCCCCGTCCCTATTTTTATTCCCTACACGAGTTTTTGAAGAAAAAAATGACGTTTGTTATTCTTAAATTTTTACCGGCGGTTGGTAAAGGATAGAGGGCGGCGAAGACGAGCGATAAGAGAGTTATTGTTTCTAATTCTATTCCAAACTTATTTCCGAGCTAAAAATTTGTCTCGAGAATAAAAAATATGAAGTTGCGTTATCAAACGGATTTCCTTTTCAAATTTGTTTCCGGGAACAGAAAAATAGAAAAACAGGAAAATCAAAACGGTTATCTTTCGCGCCCTTAACCACTTATGACAAAACTGAAGATTTGTAATTTTAATGGACCAGGCATGGATAACCGACTGAAAGCGTGCGACATTATAATGCGTGCAAAAGGAATTTTAATGACTTCATAATCAGAACCATTTATTTTTTTACCACTTTGGCATTAGAACTTGAATTTATTTGGAAGGAGATCCGCCGTGTGGTCTTTATTACATAGACACTCTCCTTACGCGTAATTTCAATTTATTTGGTTTTCGGAATCGGTTATTCTCTTGTTCTCTTGATTTCGCATAGTTATTTCTCCAATCTTCGATAACCGTTCTCGCGTTAAGAACCCTACTTGTAGCTCCACTTCAGGACAGGGATAACTTTTTTTTCTCACGACAAGATAGCTTTCTGTTCCGAGTAATTTAACGTGGGGACACGATTACATTTGGCTCTTTCTAAAATGGGCTTAGAAGGATCACGATATATCTCAAAAAAGTGAACATGATCATGAAATATTTTAGGCAAAAAGTTTTGGAGATTGGAAAAGGGCATCTCTCGATGTGCTTTATTATATTATAATCTCACATTATAATAATGGAGGAGCTTTGTGATATTACTTTTATTTAATCAGGATGTAAATCTACGGCATTACTGTTTCGCCGGTTGTGAAGAAAGGGTAAAAAAGTCTCCCACGAATCTCAATGGGGCCCACCCTCGCCATTGATACCGGAGTCCATATGTGTAAAAAAAAAAAACACATTCGATAAGATAATTCAATTTTTAGATCTTTAATTGCAACATTATAGTTAAGGTTTACCGAGAGTCATAATTTTGTCAACAGGGGTACAGGTTTGCCAATCGATTGACAAACTTGTGCGAAGCACAAGCAGACCTGTAGGAAGCCAAGACTTCCTTTATTGTCATTCTAGGCGCCGAAGGCTACTATAACTTGCGTATCCGGAGATAGCCAATTTCGACCCAAAAAAAAAAGAAAAAAAGATAGACAATCGAAGTTGATGTGGTGTTTATCTTCACCACCTAAGAGGCCCCAAGTTCCCTCCAAATCTTTTTCTTCCCTGGAGAGAGGGAATACGGAGAGAACATGGGAATGAGCCTCCACCATACCGGGGAGTCCCTTCCGTATGTTTTCTCCTTGAGCCTTTTATGGTCATGCTTAGGACCAATTTGATACCAAAGTCTATATGTGTTAAAAAAAACACATTTGATAAGATAATTCGATTTTTAGAGCTTTAATTGCAACACTATAGGTAAGGTTTATCGAGAGTTATAAGTGGAGATTTAAACCGAAGACCGGTAACAAAAGTTTCCCAAATTGTTAATAGGCAAGTACCTTCTCCATCTTCAGAAATCTGAGCAATTGACAAACCAAAAAAAAACACCCTCAAGTATGGATCTCCTTTTAGGAACGGCAACCGCCACCTCGGTGGTCAGCAGTCGCCACCGACCCACGGAGGTGGTGGTCGCTCGAGACACCTGCATAGATCCGGGGAGCAACGCTTCGCGCTTGCTTGACGGAGATGAGAGAGATCGTGCGAGTGAACACCCGAGTCACGACACGGATCATCACGTCTAGGAGCTCGTGGTGGTCGCGACGATCAAGATTCGCAATCCCAGACCATCGAGAAGGACGTCACTCGATCAGAGACCGCCCCCCCCTTCCCCCCGTACAAAATTTCCGACACTCGTCCCCTACTTATCCTATTCGATGTGCATTAGATAGAATAACTTTTATCCTATCCGGACTCTTCTTATTCAAGCTACTAAAAAAACGATGGCCTAATCGTACGGCACAACGTCCCATTTTCGCGTGTCGGTAGTGGGCACTTCAATGGTTTTTTCCCCTCTTTGGACCAGACAGCGCTCAACTCCTCCAATTTTAGTTTTGGCCCCAAATAAAGTGAAAAGATGTAGCCCCCGCAGTACGGACAATGAAAAGTGGCCAGAATCTCTGCATTCTTGCCTTTCCTAGAAAGAAATTAAAATTTTAATTCGATTTATAAATTCCTCTTTTTCCGATTTCCAGAAGTAGAAACTGAGCTCATTTTCAAATAAATTCAATTACTTATACAATCACATCGTATTAGAGTTATATATTAAATTAAAAAAAACTCAATCGATTCATCTTTTATTCCTTCCAAACCCACCTTTCATATAATAATACGAAAAAAATTAATAATTAAATTCTATTCGCGATTCAAAAATTTACTTGCCCCACTCGGAGCTCGCTTTCTCCCCTCGAAAAACTTACTTATTTTATGGACAAACTTACGATCTATTATTATGATCTATTAGTATTTTCTTTGTACATGTTATTCAACTTTGGAAGCGTGCTTCACTCTAATATTACTCATGGGAAATGATGCTCTTACACCAGTATGTATGAGCTGGGGAAGTTTTGCATCAAGTTTCATCTACTGATTTATAGTAGCCTCACGCACGTTTGCTAGATACATTAAAAAAAAAACCTCATTCTTTTGTAATAAAACGAATTGTACACGTATAAAACATTTATCAAAATTATACTCGGGTGAAATATTTCAATTTTTAACTTATTATATATCTTTGTATTAGTCAGTTAATTTTTTCCGGCGTTTCAATTATCATTTATAAGATGAGCAGTATAACTACATAACTTCCTATTCCCATAAATAAATGTAATATATTCATTTCTCAATAGAATGCAATAGTAGTAAAAAGTTCAACTATGGATACGGTGGGTTTTATAAAGTCCTACCAGTGTAGATGGTTCTCTTCTAATATGTAAAATTGTCTTATTCATTACCCAATTGATGTAAACTCAAACCATTCGATTTTCATTTTTCATCCAATATTCCTTTCATGCTTTTTGCCGGAGGGTACAAGAAAGAAACAAAGATACAAGGATTGGTTTGGAATAATTGGAAAAATACGATGGATAAGGATCAAACCTTTCACTGAATCAGACGGAGTCGACCAGATTTGGCGTCGCACATGCCTCTGACACGAAAAAGTATTCAGTGGTTAGGTACTGCCACCACGTCGTAGGATGACGTGGCACATATTTTGTACTGAAAACTAATAAAAAATTGACACGTGTCCGTGACGTGACAAGTAAAAAAAAAAACAAAAGTAAGCTTCTGTTTTTTCTCTCTCATCTTCCTCCTCCTTCTACCGCCATCTCCTTCATTTGGTCACCGGCGGAGTCGCCGGCGCTGCGTCAAAGCCGACCATTACTGCTCGTCGGACGAGCCATCGTCGCTCGCGACCTTCCATCCACAGCGCACCGCCCCGTCCATCGTATGAAACTTTCCTTTATTTTTTCTTTCTTTTGTTCGGAATGAAGCTTCAGTGGGTATGAAACTTTTTGGTTTTCTCGACGAGCTATGGCCTCAAATTTGGAGTTCGTCCTGGAGATGGACCATCAGCCTTCCTCTATTTTCCTTTTTTGGTTCGGAATGAAGCTTCGTCAGTGGGTATGATGAAACTTTCGGGTTTTCTCGGAGATGGACCATCAGCCTTCCTCTGTTTTTCCTTTTTTGTTCGGAATGAAGCTTCCTCGGTGGGTATGATGAAACTTTTGGGTTTTCTCGAAGAGCCCTGGCCTCGGATTTGGAGTTCATCCTGGAGATGGACCATCGGCGAGTTCCTCCAGATCTGGAGATGGAGCTCTTCGTTGGAAAGATCGAGCCCAGCGACTAGTTCCACGAGGCCAGATCTGGATCAACAAGCATGAAGATGGAGCTAGGACAGGGCGGTGCTCTGTCGATGGAAGGCCGTGCGCGATTGGGCGAGCGACGACGGCTTGTTCGGTCGGCTTTGACGCAACTCCGGCGACTCCGCCGGTGACCAAATGAAGGAGATGCCCGTAGACGGAGGAGGAAGATGAGAGAGAAAAAACAGAAGCTTAGTTTTGATTTTTTTTTATTTACTTGCCACGTCATGGACACGTGTCGATTTTTTATTGGCTTTCAGTACAAAAGTTATGCCACGTCATCCTGTGACGTGGCAGTACCTAACCGCTGAATACTTTCTCGGGCACACTTCCATCAAAGGAACAGATTGCCGGATCCCCGAAAGAATGTCCCGCCGGAAGTCTTCTGGACGCGAATCTTGGTGTTCATCAATAAGCAGTCGGTCGACCCAATACGAAACCAAGACCTGCAGAACTCATCCTGGAATTTGCCGACGGAGACCACCACACCAGCCAATGATTCATGGCGAGTTCAGGAATCCATCACATTGCAATTGATGTTTCAGCTTTCATTATACAGGTAATTACAACGACATGCATACAATTTCCAATGTCAATCTGTGTAGTATGACCAACTATACACTATAAACTACCCTCTACTATCTTCCACTGTAAATATCTGTCATTTGCCTTTAATCGGATCCAAAATGCCACTCGCTCGCGTAGTATGAGTTCGGCAGGCCCACCCAGAACTTGAACGCCTCGGCCGATCTCTTCCGTTCCGCCCTCCTAGCTTGCCTGGCCTGCGAAGCATGCTTGCTGGTGAACATTCTCGAATGCATCTCCACATAAATCCTCTTGTACTTGGTCTTGTTGGGTGAAATCCCGTTCTCTTCCATGCATGCCACAATCTCCAAGGCCTTCCTGAAGAAAGCGGCCCTCACGCATATATCGGCCAGAGCATCCAAAAGGCCCTCGTCCGGTTTCAACGGCGGGAGCGACGGGGAAGAATCGGGTTTGTCGCATTTTTTGCTCGCTCTCCACCTTTCCTTTATTTCATTCCAAAGCAAAAGGGCCTCTCCGGGTTTCCTGGCCAACGTAATGCCACTGGCAAGGCTACCGTAAGTGGCAACATCGGGGTATGGCCCGTTCTCTTTCATCCTCTGAACAACCTTCTTCGCTTCTTCAACCAACCCAAGTTTGCAATAACCTTCGACCAGCATGTTCCAAGCCGCCACATCGGGTTTCACTCTTGGATCTTGGATCATCTCGTCGAACACCTTGTGCGCCAGCTTCGGTTGCCCAGACGAGGCAAACGCTTTCATCAATGTAGTGTAACTGATCTTGGTCGGGGCAATCGCTCTCGCTCGCATCTCGTTGAAGAATTCGAGCGCCCCCGTGCTGTCATCGATTAGTATACATCCGTCGATCAAGGTGTTGTATGATACCACATCAGGCTGTACCTGTGCGTCTCTGGCCATTTCTTTGATCAGCTCCTTGGCCTTGTCCATCTGCAGTTGCTGGCAGTAGCCCTTCAAGAGTATGTTGTAGGTGATCCTATTTGCAGGAACACTGAGTCTCTGCATCTCAGCAAGGACCCGACGCGCTTGATCCATCGACCCAGCCTTCACTAGCGCAGAAATGACAGTAGTATATGAGATGTGGTCTGGATGTCTGGAACTGTCTTCCTCATGCCGCATTGCCTCTAGCATCCGGACTGTGTCCTTTACGCGTCCCGTCCTCATATATCCCTTCATTAGGGTAGTGTATATTCTGGAATTGGGAGCGTATGAATTCGGCAACAATGGAGGTTCGCTTAAATTCGGTTCGATTGAATTTGGAAGCAACTTCGCAAACACAACGATTTCACCATCATCTTTAGCCAAATCTATCGTCTTCAATTCTTGGTCATATTCATCTTCCTCCTCATCACTCAAATCGTCCACATTGGCATCCCTCAGAATCTTGCAAAGATCTCTCCTTCCTTCTCTCATAGCCTGCACTATCTTCTCTGCAGTGTCCAAGTCGCCGAAACCAACATAAGCAGCGACGAGTGAATTCAACGTACTCATGCACAATGGAATTCCCTTCGAAAGAATCATCTCTAACACACACACAAGCAAGTCCTTCCTATCTACTCTAGCACACAACTTAATCATCACATTATAAGTCAACACATCAGGCTCGGCCCCGAACTCAGGCATTTCATCGAACAGTTGCGAGAACTTCCCTGTGTCCCCCAAGTTCGCGCACGCGTTGAGCACAGCATTAAACGCGGCCGTGTCGGGCCTCGAGTCAGCGACCGCGGCAGGGTCGGCGACATTACGGAGCCGCCGCGTCACGGCCTCGAAGAGCCTGACCGCTTCCGCGGGGCCGTCGTCCCCGGACGCGGCGAGGCGGCTGACGACGGCGCTCCAGGCCTTGACGTGGGGGAGGTACCCGGAGCGGAGCATGGACTTGACTACGGAGGAGGCGTAGAGGGTCTGGCCGGCCTTCGCGGCGGCCACGGCGAGGAGGCCGAGGGAGTTGGCGTCGAGGCGGCGGAGCTGGCGCTCATCGCGGAGGCGCGTGAGGATGGACTGGGCGCGCGCGAGGCCCTCGGGGGTCTTCTGGTAGGACAGCTGCGACACCAGGCGGCTGAGGCAGGTGGGGTTGGGAAGGCGGTCGGACTGAGCGTACGCAGCCCAGGCTTCCTCCGTCTTCCTCTGGCGAAGGAGGGTCAGGAGCTTGTCGTCTTGGGAGTACGGCTTCGGGGTCGAGATGGCGCCGCCGCCGCCGCCACCGCCGCCGCCGGGGGAGGGGAGGGAGAGGTCTCGCGTGCTGACCGTGCCGCGGGCGCGAGATGGCCACCCGGGTGGCTCGGCGGCGGCGGCGGCGGCGGAGGAGGAGAGGGGAGGCGGCGGAGGGAGGCGGCGGAGGGGGAGAGGGCGGCGGGGGAGCGGGAACGGATTGGTGGGGGCCGGCGAGGAGGAGGAGGTGGGAAGTGGTAGAGGGTTCATGACTGGCCCATGGACGGAGGATTCTTGAAGAGTGTTCGAGCTCCTTTCTCCTTCTCCTCCTCTGCTTCGAGTCTGAAGATGGGAGGGACGACGAAGAAGGAAGAGGAGAGGGATAATGACAGAGAGAGAGAGAGAGAGAGAGACGGAGTACTCCTTCTCCTCCTTTCTCCTTCTCCTTACTTGCGTGACGCTGTACGGTACACGCGAGCCCATTCGATTTCCGCCGTTAGATGATGCGGGCCCCCTCTTTCAACCCGCGCATTAATGGTTGAGGTGGAGTTACGCGCGTAGTATAAAGTTGTAGGCGAGAATTGCTCGAGTGGAAGAGGGGTGGACTACGTCGAGTACGTTCTGTCCCCTTGTTTCTCCTTATCGTTCGATTCATGCGATTCAGATAATATCCCCACAGCTTTCGTATTTTCGAAGGTCACTACTGATGAACTCGTTAATTATATTGCTCGGATATTTGTTTATGGATTTCTCTTAATTGGTGCCTTTGGGTTTTTTTTTTTATCTAAGTAAATTAGATAATTTTTATTAAACCTTTTTAGTCACCGATTTTTGTTCCAACATGTGCAATGAATGCTCTGAGAATGACAATCTTTCCTGCGAGTGCGAGTGCGAGGGCGATAAAAATCTCATAATTGTAGTTGGGAAGGATGACAAAGTGAAAAGTTCGATTGGATAAGCTTGAATGATACTTGACATACTGAATGTATCGTTTGGTTCAGCATTTGCAAATGACTTCGAACCTGTAAAGGCCATTATGGCCGAAGCTAGCATTTCCGAAGCCTTTTAGCCCAATGCAAGTGAGACCCAGTTTCGGCATTTCAACATTTTCGAAATGCTACCTTAGGGTTTAATGACTTTGTTTTTTCTTTCAATTTTGCCTTAACCGGTATTTTCGTATTCCAATCTTGCCCCCAAGAAAACACTATTCATCTTCTGTATGATACACTCTAGATCTTTTTGTCGGTGGCTAAGGCACTAAAGTTGTTCGGCAACCCCCGTTTAGGACGCACCGATCATCGAAGGGCCACATTGGGTTGCCTGAGGTCACGTGACCTCGATGTCACCTTGCTCGGGGTTGCACAATCTCGGTAGCTTGTCACTTGGGGTTGCATGACTCTAGGCGAGGGCCATCGGAGTTACGCAACCCCAAGCGACGGGTCGTCGCCTCTCTTTCAAGCTTCCCTTGAGCTTCGCCGTTCGCTATTGATATTTGAGGAGATCCGTGCTTCGCCTATTTATTTATTTTTTAACCAAAGTCCGTCACAGGTTTGTGGAAAATAGCGTTTACTATTTGCATTTTACGAAACCCTTTGATCTAAAAGTACTTTGCATTTATGCAGAGGTTCTTCCCAAAGGCTTTTCCCAGCGCACATCTATTAAACTTGATTTTTAAGTGATATAAATTATTGCCGACTCTTTAATTGATCCACCGTGAAATTTTACGGAATCATTGTCAACTAAAAGTTTAATTGCTTATGAATACGCGGCTTAATATTTAAGTACTTTAGCACTTCTTTTCACTTCCATAGTCTTTACCCTACGACTATGCTTGAAAATACAAAAAATAAGTGATAAAGAAGACAAATAAGAGCCTAAAAAGATTCAAACACATGACCTTCTATTATGATAACATGTGAAATTTTGTAAGACTAATGCTGATTCTTTTAAAAGTTTAATCTATTATATAAAGGCATAATTTAATATTTAGATATTTTTAACGTCCACTAAATTTAATATCCACTTGTAGATTTGCCCCGCCACTTAGTAAATCAATTCAGTTGAGCAATTTTTGTATCTCTAGCTTTGCTCATTAGGACCCAACATGTAGCAAAAGCAATGCTAGGGAATGTAGGACTTGTCTACAAAATCGGTTTACTAAATGACAAGTCAAAAGTGTCTATAGAAAGCCAATATAAGCACCCACAAAGAATCTATCATATCATTTAATAAATAATAAATTTAGTATATGAGTCTTTATATATTAATAATATCTATAAAACTTACACTTATCTTCTTCTTCTTCTTCTTCTCTTTTTATCAGCAAGATAATGACTCATTGAATACCGGAATAATCCCAACTCCAACCAAGCAGGACAGTCCCTTATTCCACCAGGATTTTTGCTTTTTAGCATTGGAATCAAGAGAATGCACAAATATTATTACTCGAACCTTGGCCTTGAGTAAGAGTGATCTGGGGCTAGCACATATCTTAGATATAACCAAGCGTATCAACTGGGCTAGCACATATCTTGATATGATTATCCAACAGACAGAAATATCATCACGGTTCATGGGGGGATCAACTAGGCACGCAATTCTAATCATGATCATCACCAACTCTACAACTTAACCCCAGACAAGAAGGCATACAATCACCAGCAGCTCCCAAGAATAAACAGGACAATATTACAAGGGATTAGTGGAAAAAGAAAACGAGGCTCTATCGAGCAGTTGGCTGCGCAATAGACTCGTCGATCGCTACGTAGTTCTCGGTCCCGGGAATATCGAAGGCATCCATGTTGACGGACGAGTGGAACGAGTTCCTCGACAGATCCGAGAGGCCCTCTCGCGCCGCCAAGGCTTCTCTCTCGATCGACAACGCGTCTTGGATCTCCTTGAGGACCTCCGAGATCGACGGCCTCATGTGCCCGTGAGGCTGGACGCACATCAGAGCCTTCTCCGCTATCTTCCACATCGACTGGATGTCATAGTCCTCACGTAGGTTCGGATCGATGATGCCTTGGATGTCCCCGCTCTCTATGTGTAGTCTCGCCTGTAATAAGAGAACGCAACATGTGAAGGAGCGTACTCGTGCCGGATTTCGCTTCGAAATTAAGGATAGAGGTTTTGAAGAATTTGCAAGAATATCAATGAACAGGCTTCGTCGTACTTGTTACACTGGACTTACCCATTGGACTATGTTGCGACAGTTCACGCCGAAGCTTTCGTTAGAAATTGCTTCCCGACCTGATATCAATTCAAGAAGAATGACGCCGAAACTATAGACGTCGCTCTTATCTGTCAATTGCTGGGAGATGTAATACCTGTCAAATACCCACAGAGATAAGAAGGGAACCATAAAAAATATAAGATACACCAATATTAGAGCATTTAATTAAACTGTGCCTTTTTCTAATAGCTTAAGCTTTACATAGTATCAGAACGGAAGGTCCTGAGCTCAAATTTTTCTGGCCCCCATTTACCTCTATCATATATTTCCACGCTTTAGTTAGACCAAAGGAAGGGAGTGTTAAGAGTACTAAAGTATTAAACCATGCTTTCTTCTAACAACTTAAGCTTTTTATGCTAGACTTAACATGATATCAGAGACAAATTCCACCTCGGTTTATTTCGCATGTGCGGCCCTCCATTTGTCAATTCCTCCTATCATTCTTAATTCAACTAGTACGGGAGATAAAGTTTTAAAATATCCCACATTACTTGTCAATGGTGTATCAACGGGCCTTATATCCATGTAGGCTCCCTCTCTATCAATCGGTTTTAGTTCTTAGAACAGTTGGCTCTAGACCCATATAATTTTACAACCAACTAGTCACTAATACCATTAAAGTATATAATGTACATGCAAAAGCATCAATAACATTGGTGAAGTGTACCGAACTCATGCATATGCTTAAACAAGTGCATATACGAAGTGTCTGATTCTAAAAATCAAAGTCCGGTTAACACTGTATGCCTGAAATTCTCGCACAAGGGGCTGCTTAACAGCCAAGCATTTAGATAGTATACGGTTGCATCAATTAGTTTGCTACCATTTTCCCTCTGGAGTAATCAACACAAACAGAATAAGGTTTCCTTCAATGGCATAGCAGCTTCGTGAGTGAGTATGAATCAAAGGCATCTGGGCTTGGAAGTTGCATTGGTGAGCGGTGACAGATAAGTTGATTGCAATTTGCCAAGGAACATCATTTTCTAATGGGTTGGCCTTAAGTACAAAGTGGAGACAACTGCATCTCCTTGTTGGGGTGAGAGTAAGAGCATTGAGCCAAGAAGAATGATAAGGTTGAGACACAAACACAAGTCTTCACATGTGTAGCCTAGAGCTAGCACAAAGAATGCAGTTTCATGGATTATGCTTCTTGACGGATCTTACAACCGTGGTAATGGTAAACATTCTTGGAAAGTTGGAAGCAGCAGACAATCTTTTGTCAACACTCAGAAGGAAGAGTGTGAAGGCCGAGACACATTCTTAAATAAGTGCAAAACCTGCCTAGTCAGATTTTTCAAAACATGCCCGAGTTGGTATATTCCCACTTCAAAGAAAAAAATTGCATCGAGACATAATGACACCATATTACCTCAACTTCATAATAACTAAATATCGGTTGAAAAACAGAAGGCACAACCAAAAAGATGCCTTACTCGGGATCCAGATACCCAACAGTTCCTCGAACCACACTTGAGACATGGGAGACTCCGTCAACTTGAGATTTCGAGAGACCAAAATCTGAAACTTTTGCTCTCGAGTTGTTGTCCAGAAGAATGTTGCTACTTTTCAAATCTCTATGTATGATGGCTGGAACACATCCAGTGTGAAGGTACTCGATCCCTGAACACAATGAATAACATTACCAACTTCAGTAGCTAAAATGACTTCTACGGCTAATCAAACCAGTTTATAGAGGACTACCGACCTCTTGCAGAATCTTCGGCAATCTCAAGGCGTTTGATCCAATTAAAACTCCACTCATGAGTCAATGGACCTTAGAGATAGATATATGAATTAATATAGAAATGCAATCACAGGCTCACAGCATGACGAAAGCATATGGGCTTACCATAAAGGTGCTCTTTAAGAGTTCCATTATGCATGAACTCGTAAACCAGCATGTTTCTCCCGTCTTCTTGGCAATATCCAAGGAATTGCACCAAATTCCTGTGATGTATTCTTGAAAGAAGAGTCACCTAAATCACATACAGCATTAGTTAGAGACTATGAAGTTGATAACTGATGCTAACGACAGTAGTTTTGTCGGTGCAGAATACTAGTTTCATCAAAATTAATCTAAGAGACAAAGGGTTGGATGATATTCAGATAGTAATTCACAGACGAATGCTTTAGAAACATCAACACGGAAGACTTACTTTGCAGCAACTAAACTTAAGGACAAAAAAAGTAATTATACTGAATCCCCATTAAACAGGCAAGGAGTTATTTCATTATTCACTCCCCTAGTGATTTAAGTTTAGTCAAGAAGATCCCAGTAGCAGCATGTGCTTACTCCTTGTAGGTAAAGAAAACCACATTAACTCGTGACAAAATCGTATAGCAAATCCTGGCAGAGACTAGAGAGGCTAAGCATACCTAAACATAAAGGGTTCAAAAGTTTGGTACAGTTACCTCATTTGAGAACTCTCGCTTTCCTTGATATGAATCATTAGTCAGAACCTTGACCGCAATTTCCCTTCCATCTTTCAGTTTCCCGTAATAAACAACACCGAACCCTCCAGAACCGATTTTCTTCTCAAATTTTTTTGTGGCATCTTCAATTTCGGATAGCATAAAGCAATGAGCGGCCTCTGTAGGAGCATTACTCAAGGAAGAAACTAGCCGCTGTGTCGGCAGTATTTGCACGTTGTCATCTAGCAAAGATTAAGTGAAAAAATTAAGAACATTGCGGGATAGAGATGCCAACACAACAAGATGGATACATCATTCTCTTGATTGCTCCAAACTCATACCATGCTTAGAGTTCCTCTTGCCTTTCCGAATGAAGAGACAGGAGGCAATTGTAGCTACCAGGAGAACAGCTGCTCCAACTGATGAACCAATGATAATCTTAGTCTGGCTTCCTCTTTTCCCTCCTTCATGAAGATTCAAATTCCCAGTGTAACTGTTGACAACGGTGTTAAGAAGCTACTGGTAAATAATTGGACAAGGATACAGGAGCAGCAAAAAGTAAGGAAAAATAAAAACTCAGTTTGAAAGAATGATGAACAAAGTCCAGATATAAATATCTATAGGGACTAAAAGAAACGGTTCGAGATAATGTGAAAAAGTAGTGAGATAATTTGGTAGCAGAAGCTATCTGTAGTGATGTGATCCCACATCTGGCGCTAAAATACAAACTGCACCTAAAATTCCAGAATTGAAAATAAAACTCCTAAAATATGGATCTCTAAAAGACATCTTTTCACTATGAGAGAAGTATAAATTATCTAATGATAATTGAATTGTTGCAAAAGATTATGGAAGCTTCAACCATAGATTGAAGCTTATAGAAGACACGGTACCATGAAAATTTAGCAAGAGAACAAGCAGTTTGCTATAATCAACCGATTAAAAGTTAATCTGTTAAGTACAAAAAGCTATAAGGTAACAGAATGACGGATCTCTACATATCAAAAGGCTAAACCCTACACAGCACTACAGAACGACACAGAATACTTTTGGCTAGATAAGGATCTGAGCTCCAAAATATCTGGTATCCACGTCTGAGAAACCTTTCAGCCAAATCAATAAGGCCAACAGTAAATACTGGATAATTTTTATGACAAAGTAACAGTGTGTTGCGTGGTCTGACCAACAGCCATAATTTTTGCTCTATCTACTGCATCATGCCAACAAAAATAAAAAGTTTCCCCTGCTTTTGCTGGCCCTTTGCAATTAGACCAACATACACTGAATAACTCGATTTTAAATGTAACAAGATAAAGTGTGATGTGTGCATAATTGCAGGAGCATTCAGCATCGCAGTAAGACTAATCAGAACTTGTACCCACTTCAGATTCATTTTTTTGTTGAGAAGACCTGATGGCACCGTGCCTGATAACATGTTATTCTGGACGTACCTACAACCATCAAATTTAGCATGTGCATGAGGTTTTTACTCAGATACAGAACAAAAGTTATCACAGAAAATTGTTCACTAATCAACAATTGTATCAACACTTCATTCAAGGCCCGAGAATCACATATCAGTCAGATCCACATGTGAAATTCAGAAAGACAATGTGCTAGTTCTTTGAATCGTCGCCATGGTAAATGAGAAATCCTCATGTAAGTTTAAGAACACTTACAGTTCCTTCAAGTTTGGCAGAGTTGCGAGAGAAGAAGGCAGCTCACCAGTCAACCGATTGTTCTCAAGATGACTATCACAAAAGAAATTCATCAGCATTAAATTATCTAAGTCCATTCAAAGAGGACAATCCATGAAGCTTACATGATCTTCAGGTTCACGCATGAAGAAAGATCGGGTATTGAACCAGTGAGTGCATTCCTGTCAAGCCACCTTCAGAAAATAGGCCAAGGCATAATTCAACATAAGACGTGAAAAGTTCGAACATAGACATTGGAAAGAAATCAACTACCATCGAATGAAAAGGCAATTTCTACATAAACTTACAGCTCAACCAAGCCGCTCAATTCTGTAATGTCTGAAGGAATGTTTCCGGTCAAATTCTGACCAGACAATTTGCTGCAGAAATAAATGTGTTGATCATCCATACAGCATTGACATGCTCCTAGAATAAGAAAATGTGTTCACACAAGCACATCACAAGTAGTAGACATTTACACTGCAGTTATCAGTGGAGGTGAATCTGAGCTGCAGCTCACCCACGTCCATGGAACTGGCAGGCACGGGTCTCCACCTTCCTGTGCCCAAGCTGCTGAGGCATAGGGTGAAATTATGCTAGCAATAAATCCTCCTGCAGATCATGGAAAAACCGCAAGTTAAAATAAATAAAACTTCATATATCATGCTGACAAAGGGCGGATCTAGCCTATTAAATTAGATGTCACAGAAACAGGGCTCTACAAGCTCCCACCAAGTGATAAATCATAATATGATCATCGCATTAGCAGCAATCTTGCAAACGGTAACAAACTCATAGGAAATTGCTCAAGGGACCTACCATCTGGAGAACCATCGATTTTCTTCACATACTTGTTTATCTCCATGGCATTCAATAGTGGACCCTTTGAAGAATCTATTGTCCGCCCAAACTTAAAGGACAGTACAAATGGGAGGCTTAAGTTCACAAATCCTGGCTCATACAGGCGATATTTGCCTTGAGCATTTTCTATTATATTGACAACAGCTTTGCTGATCTCAGGTTGGCCTGGGAGTATCAGTCTGAATTTCCTCGTGTCGCCGGGAGCCAAATCTTCGATTTCTGCAAAGTAGGAATATGCCCAACCATAACCGGGAAATCCGTCCAAGTTCAAGCGGTAAGTTAGTGATGCATTCGTTCCGACTACAGCAGTCTGCATAACTTTTTGAGGTGGCCTTTCGTCATGGTTAACATCAATTGGCAATTGGGTTGAAACCTTCTTGGTGCCAACGGCCACATCAACAAGGTAGTTTGCTTTCTTTACAGAGTCAGACTCCCATATTCTATCAAATGGATCATCTGGATACCTAACGAAGAAGAACTGCATGTAAGCAATAAGAATGAACAACCTATTTGTAGTCTAGACTCTTTAAACCCTGGAATCAAACAATACAAGGGTTTTTCGCTTCTTCTTAAATTGCAAAAGCCATATTCAGAAACTAGTCAAACAGCCAAGCAATAAAAGCTGGAACAAATACAACCACAATGTTCTAGATCTACCTGACTGGCTCTTCACTGTCTGCACCAAAATTAATCCGAGCAGAGATACTGAGATAAAACTGGTTTTCAAAGTCAGTGTAGTACATCGAACCATTGAACTGACGGAGCTCAAGGGTAGATATGAATGGCTTGCCCGTGGTAGCATTAGATAAGCACACGCTAATGGTAGGATCTGAGGCCAGAAAAATGAGCTCTCTCACTTCTATAGTACTGGCATCAGAAATGACAATTGTGGACCAATAAGTAGGTCCCAAGGAGATCTCGAAGTTTGGGTAGACATTATTGCTGTCAAAGTTACCATACAAGAATGTCGCCCTTATTAAGTATCTTGTCCTAGTGGTAACGTTTAAAGTGTAACAGTACTTCCTGTTATCGGCAGGGAAGTATCTCAATGTCGTATATGGTGTTCTTGTCTCATTTGCGAGAGAAACATTGGTTATTTCTCCAAAGGTGAATTGGTCATCCGGAGTCCATTCAAGCCCAATCTTGTCGGTGAAACTCTGAGATCCTCCACAATCCAAACTAACAAAACCTGCCCAATGAAATCATGCATATCAGTTGGCCAAACCAAAAAAGTGATGCGTATCAGCAAATTGTGAAGCAGATGCAAGAAATCTGTATCTCATCAATAAAGGATTTCGCAAAGGCAGCAGCCGTGTCACCAATTACAGATTCTGAATGCATGTCTCAAAGAAGTTAACGTTTCTTTACTTGAAATATCTTATGAAATTAACAGAGGTAGGATAAAGGTTATGTTGCTTTTAATGTCGATATGAATCTTCAAAAATTAGAAAAACAAGGATCACACACTATACGAATTACCAGCAAATTGTCGAGGGGCAATAAGGTACCAATCTTGATGTACAGCGAAGAAGGTCTTAATTCTTCAATTCACTCAATCGAAACATCAAAATAAAAGAATGCCTTCATCTGTCTATGACGGATTGTGTTATGAACTTTCACATAGATGCTAAATAGAATTTTCAACGAGACAGGAAGACCAAACATTTTCCTTTTCGCAGGAGTGACTCGCTGCACAGTGAGCTTCTTCGTTACAAGCAGAGGAAGAAGAACACACATCGAAAGTAAACACGGAAATGACCAGCAGTCACAAGATTGCAGATACAGATGCTTAGAGAAATGCTCAACCTCAACAGAGCAACCATGTATAATTAGCACGTTGAAGCAAACAGTAACATTTAATTCTAACAGCTGAAACAAGCAAACAAAAGAATGAGCCTTTAAAGAACGAAAGCGAAGGGTAAGAATCATCAACCGGAGAACTTCTCAAAACTCATATGACTAAGTCATACAAAAATTACAAATTACTAAAAGAAATGAAGGCACGACTTAATTTTCAAGATCTTTTTGGCATCACCAAAGTAAAGGCGACCAAGAGATTTAGCAGGGGTGGAGAGAGAACCTGGCATCTGAGCAGTGGAAAACTCCATGAGAAGTGGAGTGTAGAAGATGAGCAAGAACAGGAAGAGCCCTCTTCCCATATCTGCGTCTTCTCTGCGAGTCCCAGAGAGAGAGAGAGGAAAAATTGCCCAAGAGAAAGAAACTGAGAAAAGCCAGTCCGTGTGTCAGCAACGTCCGATTAAAAAAAAAACACACACACACACACAGAGAAGGAGAGAGCCAACGGAACGAAGCCCTTTTTCTCTTTATTTTAAAGGACGAAGAAAAGGAGTCGCTTTACAGGAGACACGGAGAGAGAGAGAGCGAGAGACCAGAAATTTGGTAATGGCGGAAGCTGCAGTTCCAGCAGAGAGTTCCCAGAAAGAATCTAGCGAGAGAAGAAGACGAAGAAGGAGAAGAAACAACTCGGCTTCTCGCCATTCACAGAGGGAACGGGGCCACGAATCGCAGTCATCACGAACTGCAAGAGAAGGCGTCAAATCTGTTCTACCGTCGCCTTCCGCTTGCGCGGGTGGCGCGCTGCTGAGCTCGAGCTTCAGCTTCGAGAAGAACGGAGTCAAGGGTGGCGGTCCGCGCGTCGTGGGGTCCGCCAACACAAGAGTAGCGGTCCGCTGGGACTCAGAGGCGACGACCGGCTAGAGAGAGAGAGAGAGAGAGAGAGAGAAGGAAAAACTTAGGCCTAGGAACGAGAACAGGACGAGGTTCTGCCATGAGTGGAGAGGAGCTTTGAAGAGGGTTGGGGTTGGGGGACGGGAGGGGGAGGGACCCACCGTCACCATCTGGGAGGTTCCCCGTCTCGGCACACGGCGTGGCGCGTTCGCACCCAGGATCGCGTGGCGTCACGCGCCGCCCCCCGCATCGCCGTGGGGGGCGTCATTATTGCAGTGACAGGGCTTTTAGTTCATTCTCTCTGTCTCTTCTAATTATAGCTGCACGTGACTTTGATAACGAGTCGGTCGGTCCCGATCAGACTAGACCGGCCGGTTCCGGGCAATTCTCGAGATAACGATTCGGGTTATCAATAGGGGTGGTGATTGGAGGATTCGGTGCGAGCCCTCGCGCTGCTTAGCTCAATTTGGACATGGCGGCTCGACTACGGATGATTGGCTAATCAACGGATGTGATCCATCCGAATCATTGGATCCGGCTCTACGCGAGAGATCAATTGGGTGTTAATGTATATGACCTTGGACATTGCGTGTGATCTTCGAATGCATTGACTAATCAATTTATGTGTGCTCGATTCATTTAAATTATTGGGATCGGGCTTTAAATGATAGTCGCTGCGACTCGACGGTGGTGATCAATTGGATGTTAATGCGTCCGACCACACTCGACGACGGGGACGGCTTTTGAGAGGGCATTTTAGTTTGACAAGGACGAAGGACTCTCCTAAAACGGTTGCCCTATAGCTCAGGTCATCAACTGCTCGAGACTTGGTCCTTGGCGCAATGAGAGAGATTGGATCAAACAACCTACAAAGACAAGAGAAACAGAGAAATCGAAAGTGGATTTCCTTAAATATTATGCGAAATTTTTTAATATGATCATGCAAAATTTAAAAGGATATTGTCAAGTTTCCGATTGGAAAAATAATTTCAGATTAATTTTATACTTTTTTTGGTTGTTGTGGATAACAACCCCGTTCCTCTAGATTTTACTTTTGAATTTAAACTGATTTTCAGTAATTACTCGATTTTTTAGCATAGTTTGTCTTTATCCAAAATCTTTCTCGTATACAAAAAAATAAAAAAATAAAAAGCACGTGCAGTGCATGTGAACGAAAATTCTCGAGAATAATTCGAATTAATAACAAAGTAGAATAAAACGTAGAAATCTGATCCATAATTGGAGAATGAATTTAAATTGATAGAAAACCCAAAATATGAGGGATTCATCCAATATTTTTGCAATGATCTTGAAAGCAAATTCAGAGAGGGAGATTTTCATGGATTATATCCATCTGATCACCTTGATGGTTACATCGATGATCATCGCGGCAAGGTGTGGCGAGCCTATCATCGACACTGATAATGGTGGTGATGGATTGCGGTGGTGACGAAACAGAGACGACAGCGAGCAATAGCGGCGGGTGAGGTCGGGTAGAGGATGGGGGAGATTAGGTGTCATGGAAAATCGAAACTAATTTAGCAATTCCATAAAATAAAAAAATGCACGTGACATGGTATCATATACTTAACAGATATATCCTATCGAGCCAATCTTTGAAAGTTTAGAGATTAGATTGAATAAGAAAAAAAAAAGTTCGATAGCTCAGGTATACATCTATCTAGTTGCTTTGCCCCAAGTAACACATACATAAGCAAGCCATCGTCACGAAAACTCTCAAACTCCTAAGTCATCTATCTACCGATCGGTCGGGGTATTAGCGGGTCGTCACTCCAGGACCACATTAAACAATAAAGAAAATCCCACGAACCGTTGGCGTCGTCATCGCCTCAGTTTAAACATAGACGTTTCGTGAAAGTCTTTTTTTGTGATTTCCAAGGTTAGAGATTGCCATCGGGCTTCAATGTGATTCACAGTCAAGATAAGATGCAATTCATGGCACCTACCGTGCGTGAAACAAGTGTGCCATGAATATAAGTAAACGAGCCTTATTAATTATAAGTTATAACATCACAAAAGAGTCAAATAAATCCAATTTATAGAACCTAGGTTTGTTAGCAAACGAACAAATTCCACGTTCCCAGGTGGGTCCCGTCAGAAGATACTAATCCACGTCACTATCGACTCAACTATGTGGGGCGTCAACTTCACGACCCTACACACAACTTAGTTCATTTTACCCATCGAGCACAACAAACTTTCAACGACATAGTTTGACTTGCATAACACCATGCACTAAAATTTTGATTTTTCTTATTGTAATCTCTAATGAAATATATAGCCCCGCGAGCAAAGCCGTCCCCTTAAGCTGCAAAGCGTCTTTTTGAGAGGTTTCAATTCAACTAAAGTCAATCAAGAGGCTAGGCTCTTCTTCTTCTTTTTTTGCTTTCCAATTGATGTATTTCGACGTCTCGAGCCTATATTCCAGCGAAATGCTGATCCGGTGGCCGCTCCTAGCATCGAAAAACTAGTCGTGCATCTGCCAATTCAACATTTCATCAAAAAAAAAAAAACAAATCGGGTCAATATCAATGCGCATCCATTGTACAGAAATGGAAAAATCGAGTCCCCCTTAGTCGCTGGAAATCAAAGTCCGAGTGACCTGAGTGTAAAAAATCAGTTGAAATTCAATGACCACTCGTGAAATTTCACTCTCGGACTCCTTGTTTTTAGCCCCTCCTCTTCTCATATCCAAGACCTCCAACTCTAGAAATTACTATAATAATGGTGATCATGATCAAGGGCTTGAGACAAAGGTCGGACTGTTGACCTTTTCAGTCAACTCCTACGCCTCGACAGTATCGAGGCCTAAGGTACAAGTGCTAGAAAATACGAGAATCGCTTAAAGAAACAGATTAGAAGAAATAATTTGGACTTTAGCCAAAAAAATTTACTTTTGACTGTCGCTGTAGCTGGATGCTTCGCTCTTATTTTAATTTAATTTAATTTAATTTTTTTTTTATAATCTTATTCTTTTTTAATTTAAGATTTCTGGGCCATGGTCGATCATAGTGGTGTGGATACGCGGTGCCGTGCGCGCGTGCAGCCGTTTTTTTATTTCTTGAGATTAAAATTTTTTTTTATTCGCCTTTTTATTTTATCATTTATGTCTGACTCTTCTTTGGTTTATTTATCTGTTCATTTTTGATATTTCAGTCACTAACAGATATTTTGTTGGCCACTACTGTGGCCATGTGATTGGCGATCGAGGAAGTACATTAGGTGCAGATTTAAACGAATATAGGAAAAATCAGGTGATGATTGAAACGAAAAATTTAAAGGCCAACCTGCTAATTTGCCCATTTATTTAATTTTCTCTTTCGAAATTTTTTTTTTCTTATCGAGACTTCACGCGTCGGTTTTCGTTTGTTTTACGCCTATAGTCTTGATGGTTCTGGGTGATTTCTAGTTTTAAAATTTTACTTCTTTGCAAATTTTGCCACACACATATTCTTCAACTTCTTTTTAATGGGAAGTACTTAAATCCTTTCAAAGAGTACATATATATAATCATGCGATGTTGTAAGCGATATTTTCCAAATTTTTCTAAGCCTAAATTTTTTTTTTCATTTATTTCAATTTTCGGAGGGAATTTCTAACGGAAAATTAACAATAATTTTCCTCATCTTCATCTAAAAGTAAGGTAAGAACACGCCCTTCCCAATGGGCTAAATTTAATTTTTCTTCTTCTTAATTTTTTTTATAATTAACGTATTTCGGCCTTTCAAGCCTATATTTCAGCATAATGCTGATATGGTGAGAATATTTTCGTGAACGATGAAAATATTTTTCATCCATTCAAGTTGATAAAAGATACGAGTGACCATTTTCAGCAAGAAGAACTAATCGAATCATTCATTTTCTGTGAAGAAAGCGTAAATGCAAAATTAATCGAAACTCAGCAGCCGACGAGAGGGTAACCTACTCTCGAAGCTTCTCAAGTCCCGAGGTTGGTTCGTCCTCCTCGTGCGTACAAGGCGGACCTCCACCAGTGAAAATACGAATGAACGGTGGTGATCAGGACTTGAGTTGAGGCAAGGACCACACGGTTGACTTCTCAGTCAAACCGCTGACCCCAGCGATTTGCAGGCCTGGGGTCGGAAAATACGAGGATCGATTGCTCGAATAAAACCAAATTACAAGTCAGAATTTGGACTCTTAGCATTAGAAAGAAAAAATTACTTTTGACTGTCGCTGTAGCTGGATGCGTCGTTTTTATTTACTTTAATTTAATTTAAGTTTTTTCTTGTTTCTGTTGAAGATTTTTCGGGTGCGATCGATTATAGTTGTGATTACGGCGGTATCGTCCACGCGTGCAGCTATTTTTATTTCTTGATATTGCACTCTTTGTTTTTTTTTTTTTGCCTTTTCGATTTATCATTTATCTTTGGAAACATCGCGATTTTCTTCTTTGATTTTTAATTTTTCTTATCTTTTCTTGGCCGCTCCTAATGGCTGATACTTTATCATAGGTTACACTTAGGCATTTGCTTCGTACATGATCGAGGAAGTAAATTAGATGTAGCTTTGAATGATTTGCCCATTTTTGTGTTCTCCTTTTAATTTTTTATTTATTTAAATGAAACTTCACTGGTCTGTTTGCATCTCTTTTTTTTTAGGAAAGTGACACAAACAGTCACTGAACTTTAGCCTAATATGCAATTTGGTCCATGAACTTTTAATTTGTTCAATATAGTCCCTGAACTTTAGCTTAATATTCAACGTAGTCCCTGAACATTTAATTTATCCAATGTGGTCTATGAACTTTTGGTACATATTCAATTTAGTCCTTGAACTATATGAAAATGTTCAATGTAGTTCCTGAACTTGAATTAATGGAAGGACTACATCGAACATTTTCATATAATTCATGCACTAAATTGAACATGTACCGAAAGTCCATGGATTACAATGAACAAATTAAAAGT